GGCGCATGCGTGTTAAGATCGCGCAAGGCATGATGGGAACCAACATGGTGTAGCAGATCGTATCCATGCAAACGAGGTTGTATTGTTAGCGTCATTTTAAACATGCGCACATTAGCTTGAACATGACGCAAAATGTGTGTTGACAGCCACCAAGAATCTCAAAAATATTCCATTACCCACACGTTTTCAATATATGTTTAAATTCACTTGCTGAAGAGTCAGATTGGCGCAGTGGTTCTTTCCTTGCCTTCGTCCTCCATGGCCCCGGTTCGATTCCTGCCCAGACCACATTTTATTGGGTTTTCAGTCCCTACCTGATGCTGTGGGTTTTCCAGAACAGTCTGCATATGTTTTTCTCCAACCAAGTTGGGGGAACGGGTGCTGTGGTCTAATGGTTACGGTGTTCGACTCGTGTGCCATGGTACATGGGTTCGAATCCTGACCGTGGGAACATGGTGCTTGTGCTCTTGAGCAAGGCACTTTACCATTATTGCTTCGTCCTTCGGATGGGACGTAAAGCCGTAGGTCCCATGTGTTGTGTAATGCACGTTAAAACAATCCCAGTAAAACTTATCGCTAAGAGAAGTTGCCCCGGTGTTTCCGGCAGTGGCTGCAATATGCGCCGCAGCATCTTGTAAACCCTTATAAGGTGCTACATAGTGGGTCTCATATTCTCATAACGCTTCATTTACTTGTCTGTAATAATGGATATAATTTCCAGCGCCTTGAGTACCTAATTGTTGGTAGATACGTGCGCTATACAAGACTCTGGTATTATAAGTATTATTATTACAAGTCCCTGTATTATGCAAGGCGAAATTGATCAAACTTTTACAGAATCATTCGATAAGCTCATAATACTCAGAGAAGCACTGCGCTTACAGGCTTATCCGATTGGAACTTCCAACTTAAAACACTCGAAGACTCATACAGTGGTTTCAAAGTTCCCCGGATACGTGTAACACGTTACAGAGTGAACTAGATAACTCAACACGATATATTTTTGTCAAGTTTTGGAACTACACGTGTCATATCTAATTCTACTCACAGTGATAAATCTACCAACAGAACATCAAGTTGTTATGACTTTCCTTGAGGTAACGGGAAACCTATTTCCCCTGAAGGATCTTAACATGATTCAGGATAATCGAGGCACCATAAGTCTTTGAACTTTCTCAAATTGAATTAGCTCACAAACAGAGGGTGCTTATTCCGGCAAATGAACGGAAGAGAAAACTCGGTGTGATGGACAGGGAAGCTTGCTTGCGAGCTACAGTGCTGATAATCAGTAACCGTTCCCCCTCGCGCGCGACTCGCAATCGCCACATCGACACGAGGAGAAATTCGTGCGTCAAATTTTCCCCACTAATAATTAGCGCTCTCTAAAAGACATTAGGCTTCGGCGTACAAACACGGCGCACGGCCTGCGTATGAGGGGCCACTCGTGAATAAATGGTGGGGCCCTGTCCATCTGTGGCCGCTATCAATTGCTAAATTAAGCTGCTAAATTGACTTGGAAATGCAGCGACCATTAGAGCTAGTCAATGAATGACCAGGCGCAGGCTAGAGCGGCCCCGGACGCTACGGTGGAGACTCTGCAAGGCATGAACTTCGAGAAAGCAAAGAAAAATGATCCTGGTCGCTGGATATGCAGCCATGGAACAAAGTTTAAAAGACATTTATCGAACGAGCCGTTCACTGTCAGTGTAGTCGACCGTCATACACAGTATCTTTTCCAGGTCAAAAAGGTAGCGGTATTCTTGATAGCAAATCGTTTTGGTCACTAAATATTTAGTTATGTATCAGTTAACGAGGCAAAGCAAGATGGGTAGAGCTGGTCTCCGAGTGCACACAATTCTAATATTATGATTCAGTATGGCTCTTCACTGAATTGGGAAGACTATTGTCTGGCTACACAACCGGCCGGATTTAGCTCACCGGGTGTTGCAGGATCCTATTTGAAACATTTGGACCAAGATTAAACCTAACAAAGTTTACTTCACAAGTAACGGTTATCGGATGAGTGAGTGCGTGAGTCAGTCAGTCAGTTAGTCTGGTACAACGACCAGAAATAATATGACATTTGGGAAAAAAATCCCTGTTGAGATCTGCCAAATAACGAGGGGGAGGAGGCTGCCGGGAATTGCGACTGAAGTAAACAGCAGCGATCTGACTGAGGTTCCCAATCAAATTAGAAGAAAGTTTCTACTGTGGCGTAGAAAAGATGGTTTTTACAATGCAGTATTAATTCAAGATGTAGTGTGTAGGCCACAGTTGCAACAATTCCCAGTTTCAGCGATGTTTTTTTTTTTAATCAAACAAAGATTTCTCTTTTTCTGCAAGCATTCAGTTAATGTTTAGTAAACAAAATCATTCTTTTTTACAAATGAAATGTTCGGTGCACTGGAGATTCACTTATAAAGTATTCATAAATACCCGAGACAGTTTATCAATTCTTGTTGGTCGAAAGCCCGTCACGGGGTGGTTTTACACCGCTGGTAAAACACCGCTGCGTTCTGCGCCACTTCGAGCAGTATGCGCGCGCCGCGCCCGCCAATTTCCATATAAAGAGATTTTTAGCACTACGCGCGAGAGGCACATACCATACCATAGATATAGGCAGAGGGATGTTTCACAAAAGATGCAGTAAAGCTGTTGAACAAAATCGTTGAAAATTGTTAATTTTTGACTTGGTTTGACTTCGGCTCAGGCCATTATCCGCGTCCCTTACTGGTTTTAAACGTGCTTGTTTAAAACCGGCCAAGCATTTTCCATTATTAAAACACAGAACAACCATAGCCCAATTTTATATGTCACAAAAAGCTACGTAAGAGAATCGGCAGGACACTAGGAATCAGTACTGTACGATACACTGAAAAAGTGCAACAAACTTAGGTGGGTCAATATACGTCAATGTTGCGAGGCGTTTCGCGTCCAAACTCCACCCCAGAAAAGAAGTTTTGGAATGCACTAAACTTCAAGTTGTCATTGTGTTTAATTAAGGAACAAACCGTGAACTTAATTAAATTGCACATGTAATCGCCGGACACTCGTCGCGCGAACATTTTCTCCGGCAAGAAAAAAAAACCTGGCAAGTTGGAGTCCTCGTGGTCTGTGTGTAAGCCATAGTTCCCTCGCCAGGGAGTTAGGGTATAAATCAGACTTACACGGGACCCAAACAGAAGTGGATTTTACACAAAACAAGCGTGAAAATGACGGGGCATTCCTGGGTGGCGCGCCAGCAAGAATTTAATCAAGAGTCGCGGTCTATCGCTCAATTTCTTTATTGGCAAATATGACGTTTTTTCCCCCCTACCATTTCTTGATGGAAGCGGGTTGGTGTTTACCAAGATTTTGTCCAGGCACATAAACCCGTTATTGTAAACGTTCCCCCGCGCGCGCTCCCACCCTCAAGACACTGCAAGAAATTAATTTGGCGGATAACGAGTACTTGTTTCCGATATTGTTGCAGCTCAAATATGCACAGCGTAAGCAATATCGTGTTTTACATTGTACCTGGCCAATTGGGGCCATTTAGGACTGTCGCCTCGGACTAACAACCCGGGGTATATATTTATCTATTGACCGAGGCCCTTGAAGACACAGCAATTGCTGGTCCTACACGTCCCTTATTAAATTCTCAAGTAGGAGACTTTGTAAGATCTCATTCAGCAGGATGATATAGGATGAAGGACCTGGTATATAAATGACTTCAGCTAGCAAACTCGCCAAACGAACCAGATAAGGACGAACCCATTTGTCTTTTTCTCACCTCCCTAAATCTCCACGACACTTTTTTTTTAATATCCTTGGTCTCGTAGCTTACTTAATAATGTTTTTTTCCCCATACTTTCCTTCAGTGACTAAACACTAACGGAGTTTATTCAATATACACAAGTCTATGTTCAAAAGAAGTACCATATCCGAATATCACAACGCACCGCCACATCGTACGTACCTATTCAGGCACAATCATCTTTTGAAACTTATAAGAGACGGACAATTTTTAATTATCACTCTTGAGGACTTGAAATATAAATCAGTCATTCAATTACAAGGAATTGTTCCTTTGCGAATGGCATAACTGTCACCAAGTATTAAGTTTGTAGGATGCTGTCGTTGCACTTTTTTAGTCAGTTTCAAGTTCAGAATGCGATTCGTTTGTGGCAAACTTATACAACACGCATGTTTTGTTTTTTAATTAAACACCTTGAAATTGTTCCTTTGCGAATGACATAACTGTTACCAAGTATTAAGTTTGTAGGATGCTGTCATTGCACTTTTTTTAGTCGGTTTCAAGTTCAGAATGCGATTCGTTTTTGGTTTCAAACTTATACTGCACGCATGTTTTGTATTTTAAGCACCTTGAACCGGACTATCGAAAGTTAGAAACTAAAGAGTGTGCAAAGGAAGTATATCACATAAAAACATGCAAGTGTTTGAATCTGAATTGTTACGGAACACCAATAATCTGAAGAAAAGCAATGGATTCAAAATGAAGATATGCCTGGATAAACGCACTTCATCATAGATGACTTACAATAACCCTCAATAACCTATCTCAATATTGCAAGCCTTTCTATAAAGCTTCAGGCCTTCTGCCATATTATCGCCTCCTCCGTTTGGAAATTGGAAAATTCATCCCTCATCCAGCTGGACTTGGAAATTCTTGGATTCAATAGAGTTTTGAATTGGCACTGAAGCCGAAGGCACAGTGCTGTAGTTTGTTGAGAGGATTAAAACAAGAAAAGATCCTCGATGCATACAATGACTAAGCCTTAGAGCCTTGCTTTCAATGCTGATTTGAAATTTGTCTGTTACCCAATCTTAACCTACCTCAGAAAATCTTTCGTCCTTCACTGCTACTGTTTCTGTCTTTACGACGTCGTGGTTCTCACCATGATGCATACTCCAAGTTTATGCTGAACCACACAGGTCTTGTGCAAAATTGAACTGACAACAGTTTTCCTTTCATTTATATTTTTTTCAATCAAAATTAGGGAGGCTTCACCAGGAAGTACTCTCTGGCTTCCAAGACTGGCACCTTGCTTCCTGAGTTCCCCAGCGCAGCATCGCTGGTCCTACCATACAGCATCCCAAAGGAAAAGGTACCAGACTTGACAATAACTGCCTGATGAAAATCTGCAACCAGGAAAACATTGTGACATTTTCATTTTACTTCTAATTTAATAAATGTCGTGTATTTTTGTAGGAGTCACTCAATATCTTTTGGAGATATGGTGGATATAAAAAGAGGGGGCTATTAAGAGTTTAAATAAGTTCTTTAAAATATCATATGACCATTGTCTCAAAATTGCGATTTTGTTTTTTGGATAATTTTTTTTTTTTTTTTGATTTTCTTTTCAGGTGGAGACCCTGCTAATGATGTACAAGACACACTGTCAGTGCATCTTGGATACGATTATCAACTCAAATTTTGAAGAGGTAAATTTACTTTTAACAAAGCCATCCCAGCAGTCAAAATCACGCAAGTTACTGTTTTAACAGATAAGAGCCTACTGCCTACATAAACCAACTTTGACTGGCTGCAACTATTTATGCAACTCGATACAGCTTTGCCTTGACTGTTGGCGATTGATAAGCAGCTATACCTATATAAGTTACCTTCTTTTGTCTGTTGATGGAATGTGACTGGTCAGTGCTTATCAAAAATATGATCTGACTTTTGGTGACTAGCATGTTGTAGTCCAAAAATTTGGGACTCTTATCTTTGATTGAGAGTCCCAAAACTTAAGGTATTGAAAACATGCAACGAAAGAAAATAGTCTGATATGGCACATAGAACAAACAGTCCAACACCGCTTCAGTGATGTGTCAATCAAGTGTGTAAAAAGAAACATCTGGTACCAGTCTCTATTTGTACACATATCTCCATAGTCTGCCACCAGGCTAGCGAAGAGGCCAGTTGAACAGTTTGTATGTAGGCCTACTAGTCTAGTCTTAGGCTTCAAATTGAAATCACTTGAAAGAAAATTCTCCTTTAAAATTGAATTGAGACTTCAAAGTTGGTTGGTGAAATACTGAGGACCTCGTCTTTGCCTCATGTAAAACTTTGAGAATTTTGTCTGCAAATGAGTGAGCAAAATTGGCGCGAATTTGTTTTGCATGTTTTTCATTATTCAAGGTCCCACTGGTCTCAAAATGTCTAGCCACACACGCATCCGAGCCCCATGCCTGGACTCGAACCCATAAGGTTTACCCACAAACCATACATTCGATGCGTTAGACCACCAGGCCACTCCATGTTACTCGCTGCTAAGAACATTAATTAATACTACAATACATTTGCTTAATACTGACCACCAGATCCAGAATTTCTTGCTGCATTTCTGGCAAGGCATGCCAGACCATCTGCTGCCGTTGCTAGACAGCTCGGTTATCATCGACATGATCTGCATCTGCGACTCCATCCTATACAAAACAACGGTGGAGATCCTGATACCAGCGACGATGCAGGAAATGCCTGAAGGGTGAGTACCAGCTAGCAACGGTCAAAGGTCATGAGCCATAGCCTCTTTCACTATTGGATATGGGGGGGGGGGTTCTTGCAAGTTAACATATCATTAGTATGTTGCAATAACATTTACAATGCACAAATTCACCAGAGAAACCTACAAACGTAAAGCATGATTAACTTTTAATACGAATTTATAAATAGAAATACGATTACGTCCAGTAATTTATGCTCCAAAAAGGACGTGCGGCCGGGTTTATCAAAAAGGGTGGCCCAAACAAAAGAAATTATTGTGTACACATTATAATCTTGAGCATTGTCACTGTGGTTACATTTTAAAGGGTGGCTCGTCAAGTAATACCTCCATTGCATCGCTGCAGACATTGATGGCTGAACATTTTAATTCAAAACATAAGCTCGAAACTATCTCTTTCCAATTCTGATGTAGTGATAATTCACAGGAACATTTTGAGTCCGCGGTCACAAGACTTAAATCACAAGTCAGTTCACAAGTCCTGTCACAACTAGTGGAGAAACAATAACAAGGGATGCCCGTAGGCTATCTTATGGATGACTTGTGATGTCTTGTGATTGTCTTGTGATTGTCTTGCAATAACTTGCGATCAATCTTAATCACCCCGACAACACTGCTTGATGCTTTATCTTTGAATTACTTATGTCACAGACTCTTGGCTGATATTCGTAACTTTGCTAAACATTGGGAGCAGTGGTTATGCTCATCGTTGGAACACCTTCCGGAGGCCGTCAGCCAGTCTAAACTTCCTGTGGCTAGACGCTTCGTCCAGTCGTTAAGAAGACAGACATCATTTCTTCATTTAGCTCAGGTCAGACAGTTACCTTAGTATCCATGATAGTAATAAAGTCTACTTATTGATATGATTCTGAAAAGTTCATTTACTGAACGGTGTTAAATGTAAGTTAGTGTACCTCTCTGACCTTTTCATTCTCGATTCTTTTTTTTTAAGAGAAAAATGGCGATGTTTATAATCTGTAAAGGAGATATATCTGTTTTATCACATGAAAATATCTCTTTTATCAGGTGGTCATATACCGGTATGTATTATCAGATGGAAATATCTGTAGTATCTTGTGGAAATATCTCTTATATGGCTATATCTTTACCTACAGACGTCTAGGCCAGTGTTATTCGATCAACAGTTGATCGATCAGATGATTTCTGATTTGGATAAAGTGGATCTGCACAGCATCGGCTCCCAGGCGCTACTGACGGCTTCAACGGACGAGTCAGACATGGAGCTCAATGCAGAATGTAAGAAAATATGTCAAACATCATTCAACAACGCATAAAATTCACAATATTGGTAAACAAACCCTAGGTGTGTTGCATTGGACCATTGGGCAAATTCCAACCCTTGTCATCGGACAGCTGAAATAAAGACTAATATGCAACTCATATGAAAATATTTGGAGGTATTCTTATAATGTGCGACTGTCAAGCTGATAACCTTGTGATTTTTTTTCAAATAATTTCAGTCTTGAAGGAGTTTAAAGAGTTACTGAAGAAGCAGGCGACGGTGGAAGCCTTCACGGAGTGGCTGGATCAGGTTGTTGAGAGCAAAGTTATCAAGGTTGGTGAAATGGTAATTTTCCTTCTGTAGTAGCATTTTAAAAGCACACAGATCGTCGAAGATCACCGTGGTCCGATTGTTACAGTGTCCAACTCATGTGTGACGGTACGTGGGTTTGTGCCCTGACTGCGAACTTGGTGCTTGTGTTCTTGGGCAAGACACTTTACCGCAATAGACTGTCTCCACCCAGGAGTATAAATGGGTACCTGTGAAGATACAGACCACATTGTGCTTATGTCGAGCTACTGCAAAGCGGTCTTGTGGCCTGATGAACAGGGGTAATTATTATTGTGAAGCACTTTGAGACTGTGGTGTTATCACATTAACGAAATCTTGTCTTAGTTAAACTTCAACTAAAGGTTCCCTGTTTGTTCTAATGACATGTTAGTATGCAAGAAGTAGACAAGCTAACGCTGTCTGTACAGCAACTTTAGTCTGAAAAAAAAAATGATTTTTGTTCTTCTTGATGAAATTCTTCTCAAATTAACTTGGAAAGATTTGAGGTGTCTTCTTATTGTGTAACGTCTGGCTGTACTTATTTTGGTTGCAGCCCGGTAAACAGAACGGAAGATCCATGAAGAAACGAGCACAAGACTTTCTCCTCAAATGGTCGTTCTTCGGCGCCCGGGTCATGCACAACCTGACGCTCAATAATGCACAGAGCTTCGGTAAGGTCTCGAACATTAACTTCCTGTAACAGAATTAGACTAAGCAAGTTTCAAAGCGCCAGGATGTATTCCAGTCCATCACAAGCCCCTGCAAGACCATCACAAGTCCTCCAGTCCCAATTCAAACCATTAGCTAGTAACATGAGCTTTGGCAAAACATGCCTTTGTTAGTGTTCATCCTCTTTTGGGTTTGGACTTGTGGTGGACTTGTGATGGACTCAACTAGGCTACATCCCTGCAGAACGCACATCTCTTGCATCTTTCACGCGTCTGGTCTACACAATGGGCCGGACTTAGGTTATTCAATGGCGTTATGAGGTTATCATATACGATAGCACTGCCCAGCGAACAAGTGAAAGTCAGTCGCACTGTAATTAAGTAATGAAGTACATAGCGGAAACTAGGCTGCCCTCTACGGTGCCAGCAAAAATTTAAAAGAAAAGTTGAAGTTTTGCTTATGCATAAATGAAAAAAGTGTAACCTTTAATCAATGAGAGACAGTTAAGCGCTACTTGGGATTTTCTCTACGAACCATACTTCACTTAGTCTTGGAAGACTAGTCAACAGATGATATCATGTCGTTCGTTCCTTGTGTGTAAAAATTCGTCATTGGCTGGAGCACTTCTGATTGTTTTGAACTTATTCATTTTGACAGCCTCGTTCCATCTCATTCGGATGTTACTGGACGAGTACATCTTACTTGCTGTCGAGCAACAATTTAACACTGAGAAGGATAACGATCTACAGAACCGACTGGAGAAACACATGAAGGTTGCTGGTAAGAACGGTAAACACGTTGACAATTCTTTTATCTCATTAGCCAAAAGAAAAAGCCAATGAAGTCCTATTACATTTTCACAATCAAGTTTGTACTTTTTGTCTTTGTACCAAATATAGAGCTTTTGAGCGACCGGTGAATAAACCTGAAAATGCATATTTCAAATCTTACACCCATCATCTAGTGATGGTCAAGGAGATAACAGACTAGGAGATTTGGATCATTTCTCTGTATCATGTTTTAGAAATCATGGTTCTGTTACAGACAGTAATACTTCAATTCATGACGTCGGAATTACCACATGCATTTCTCTGTATCTTAGAACTGTCAGTTTCAGATGCAAACATGTTTTGTCTGTTTTGTTTACCCAGATCCCAACAACCCACAAAGACCTTTATCGAACCAACCAGGCACGTGCTTCTTGGCGAACCGCAACAACATCATGTCTCGTCCGAACCAAGGATTTTCAGACCAATCTCCGGTCAAACGAGAAGACTATGTCGAACGGTATCCCGGTGGTACATACACCGGACACACGGTCATTGCTGAGAAAGACTCCTATACGATCCCTGGACATTATGGCACTCAACCGTCCATGCCTAGCCCAGGCAGTGCCGCAAGGAGCAATGCTATGTTAACTCCGCCCATCTCACCAATCGTGGTCAACCCAATGCGCAACTCAGTCATCAACCAGGGTCACGTGGGCGTCAACGCGCGCAATCCAACCAATCCCTCCTCCCTCGTGCCTCCCGCAATGCACCACGGCGCGTATCCCTACCTGGGTCACGTGGGGCAAAACCAGGATCCTTATTCGTCGGGCAGGGCGCAGGGATATCTAGGGCCGTACCAGGGAGGCGGTTGCTACCCGCCCGCCATGTTTCACTCGAACTACTCCCCCGCTGCATATCACTCCAAGAACGACGCGGACGCAGCACCGACGTATCCCTACGCGGATCCTCAGTACCGTGACGACGGCTACTACAACAGCTGTGCAATGGGGACAGGACACCACGTGGAGGGCGGAGTGATACAGGCAACGGGTGCGGTGCACGGCAGCAGTGCCTTCAATGTTGTGGGCAATATACCGTCTACCTACGCCTTTACAAATGGATACCAAAATGCAGGTATGTGAACTTTGAAAATAAGCATGAAAATAAATTATTCTAAACCTTAAGACGTGCACCCTCCTATGAAGAATATTAATGTCCACAAACATTGGGATTACACTGAGATTTTCAGAAGTATACGGAGGCGAAGTTCTTCAACTAATTCAATATTTTTTTTATCAAGACGAAGTTTCATCTTCTACCGAAGTAAAAATCTGTATACAATTCAAGCGTCTACAATTGTTGTAGGCTGCTTTTGCACACAGTTTAACCTTGTGGGTAGCATGGTTCTCGATCCCTTTATTATTGATAATGACAGGAATGCGGGAACCAGTGTATACCCTGCGACAGCTGAATTTTTGTCGCGCTGCAAATTCGCAAAGTTTGCCACTAAACATTGGCCAAAGGCCGCTTCGATATCCCATTCTTTTAAGTGTATAACTTTTTAAATTCTACAAAAATAACAATTGAAACAATTAGGATAGGACTGGAAAATAGAGCGGACATTATTTCTTAAAGAAAAGGTAACATTACTTAGCTATATTATATAATCTTGACGAAGTTTGTAAAGTATTATTCCAGCACAGAAGAGCAACAAATCTAACAGGGTATTATATTCATATACCTTAGTCTCACCGACAAAGACGAAAAACTAACGACTGTTGTAACTGTCTTACACAGGATACTACTCACAAGGTGCTTACAACCATGAACATCCGGGTCACAAGGACGTGGAGCACGTGTCTGTCATCAGCAGCACGCATGCGCAGAGGGTGCGACCCGAGAGAGGACATGCGCAGTTCAACGAGATCAACGATCCGTTGAATATTTTAGATCGTCCGGCAGTGACGAGAGGAAACAAAGAGGATCTCATCTACGGTGTGACGAGCCAGGCTAGCTGCCATGATCCTACAGGTACCATTGAATTCATGTTTCGTTCTATGTATGGTTATCATCATGGTGGTGTGGAAATGTGGCTAGTTGGCCTTGTGGTTAGGGTTTGTGACTCATGTTCAGAGGGTCAGAGGTTCGAATCCTGCCTCTTCCATGTATACCGCCATTCATGCTTCTATATACATGATTCCTTTAATCTATTCATGGAGGTAGAATTGGTCGTGTTGGTAGCGTTTAAGATTCATGATCATGATGCAACTGGTCACGTGTGGTGTCTTTGGGCAAGCTACTTTACTCCCACTTGCCTCACTCCACCCAGGAGTGTAAGGGTGCCGACATTAGCCGAGGAGTATCCTGCGATGGAATTGCATACTTTAAACCACCCACCATGGACATACTTTAAACCACCCACCATGGAATTTATGTATGTGCCTGATAACTGACATTGCTCGTCCAAGCGTTATGCACACGTAAAGCCTAGTTTCCACGTTAGGATTATCCAGATTATGCAGACAGTGCGCGGAGCCGATCGTCTGCGAGATAGTTCGCGTCTGTCTGGGTTGTCGGTCACATTTGCAGATTAAATGTTTCCATGTCTGCGTTGCATTTTGGGTCTTGTTTGCGTTGCTCTCTACGTTTCTTACCTCTGTATGAAAACTAGTTTTCCTTATCTCAACGAGTGATGTTGTCTTTACTATATCTTCAACAGGTAACCAGGCGTCACAGTCCCCATCATGCAACGGGGTTCGACGTCACCCTGAGAATCTGATTGGCCAGAGCGACTACATTCCGGTGCCAGGGGTCAGCATGTACCACGACACCACGGGGGAGATCCGACCGATCGTATCCAATCAACATAGCACTTCGCACGCAAGCCATCACCCTCAACCAAACGGCACCCCTATTGAGAATAATGAGCAGGGCTCGTCACTTCCGCCAATCAATACAGTCTTTAATATAGATGGTTAGAAGCCAATGCACCGATTTAAGCCAAAGCAGATTTCAAATGTTTAACTTTGAGAATAGGTGATAACATTTTGTTTGGACTTTTCTACAAATAAAACTTTCAACTTGTTGGTACGTTATGTACAAATTCTGATTAACTAGGGGCAAAAACTACCATGATTATAGTGCATTGGTTTCTCAAATTGATCTTCATTAAACACCTCATTAAATCCTTGTCATCTGATTGGTGGGTTTTTGATTACGTGGGTCGTTGATCACGTTGGTAAAAACGATTTGACCAAATGATATAATAATCATTTTTATAACGTTCGAGCTTTTTCCCTACAGATATATATTTGTACATATTAACATTAAATTAAAAAAAAACACTACACAAAGGAATTTTGTACAAAGGTGATATTTTGCCGTGCCCCAACAAAAAATAAATAGTTTTGGTTCTTTAAGATAATCTATACGAATTGATAATTCATTCGTAAAACAATCTTTGGTGAAAATACAAAAAGAGCAACTTTTATTTATTCCCAAGTGACCGGTTTTTTTTTTGGTGCCGGGATTGTTTTTTGGTACCGTGTGAATGTTCATTGCATTCGTGTTTCCAATGCAACAAATTAGTTCAACATAATACTTGAAACGCAACTCCTCACTTCCCAACGATTTTATTCATCTACAATTTTCATCACAAACAGTTTTTGAATATGTGATTATAGTAACAAGTTTCATAAAAAAATATCCCTTCAAATTATTCTTTCTGGCTTGCTGTCATTTGGAAAAAAATAAAGAAATGTACATGTAGGTGATTTCCAACTATCAGTAAAATTGACTGACTTTTGGAAATAAAAAGTGGTGTGGACGAAATCCCCAAAAGTGTCATATCCACTGAGCTGAAACTTCAACAGCTTTAGTTTGGAACATTCTTCTTTGGATTTTGAGTGGTGTTATCGTTGGAAACAAACAAAAATGCAAATGATTTTATATGCCTTTAATATTAAGCTTCTGATCTTGTGATGGAATATGTTGGAATTTGTTGGAATTTGTTTTAATTTAATACCATCCCATTTTGATTGCGTAATCACATCTTGGGCTTTCAATGTGACACAAACCTTGTAAAAAGTTGATCAAAATTTTAACAGTAGGTTTTTTATCATATAAAAATAGTTCGAAACGTGTATATAAACTGATTGTTTTGTGTATGGTTATTGTTTTGTTATAAAGAGTTATAAGATTCTGCATTTTGTTATAGACTGATTTTATAAGATCCCTAAGAACTTGAGGTAAATTATAACAAATGACTTCATTTTTAACAGTTGTAGATATGTTATGAATGGAACAATCCGTCCAAGTATGTACTGTCAGTCAAAATAGCTATTTTTCAGTTAACTTATAGAATTTTTATTTAGTGTTCTTATAACAGTGTAAACGAAAGTACTTCGAAATCAAAAAATAAACCATACTGTGAATCAACCATATTGTTTTCCGAAATATCTTTATTGTCATAAATTTAGACAAATGAAAAAAAAACCATACAAGTACCATGCAAATTGCTATAGGACAAGATGGTTTTAAATTCACATACATTTTTACTGCTGGCAGGTTAAACATGAAAAACGTAAAGACAAAAAGAAAAAGAAAAAACTATCTAATAAATAAATATATGTAAATCCTTTTTCTCACACGAAGTTTCACTGAATACTATTTTGTCCACATGGAAAAGTTTTTTTAGCAATGTGGTTAACAAACTTTTCATCTGAGTGTATTAATCATATTACCTGCTATGCCGTTTTAAAGGTAATATACATGTACAACATTAACCTTTTGCTGTAATTTTTAGAAATGGATTAGAAAAAAACCAAGAAAAAAAAAACGTTCTTGTAGTCTGGTTCCCTGACCCTACTTCAGACGAAACGGATCAATTTATAGATGTCAGGGAATTGTCAGGGCAGGGAACCAGACTAGCTCGCTTGCACCCAGTTATGGATTCGTAACCAATGCAAACAAAATGTGGACTAACTAAATTACGTAAATTGGGGGCAGTATATTAAAAAAAGGTCAGTTTTCCTACGATGGTCAGCCAAACATTGTTGGAAATGGATTTAAAAAATTTACTTTTCTTGACAATGACGCAACCGGGTGCCATGACTTTACAAGATGCTTACAGTCAAGTAAGGTATTTTATAATAATGTGGTAGGTATTGTTTATATTTGCGAATGGCGTAGATCACCTTTAATACATGTTCATTTTCCAAGTTTGTTTCAACAAAGTCTGGATTCAAAATGTCAGAAGGTGCTTTTTCGCGCTTTTTCTGAAACTTGTAAGCCACAAGATTCTAGGATTGAGCACAAATACTCTAAATTCAAGGCCAATCTTGTAAGTGAGGAATTTTTCCCAACTAGGGCACGTAGCTCATCCCTCTCAGCTTTAAAAAAAGCTTTTGCAGCTGGAGAGTGGCATTACAACCTCAAGAAAAACAGCTGTGCTTCAGGGAGCGCAAGAACGTACGGTCTGCGAGGTTCATTCTTCAGAACCCTCATTGATGAAGGTACTTCGGATTTAAAGAAGGCATCACAAACCTCACCAATCAGAACTGTGCTTCAGGAAGCACAAGAACGTGCGGTCTGCGAGGTTCATTCTTCGGAACCCTCATAGAAGGTACTTCGAGTTGAGAGAGGCATCACAAACCTCACCAATCACAACTGCGCTTCAGGGAGCACAAGAACGTACGGTCTGCGAGGTTCATTCTTCGAAACCCTCATAGAAGGTACTTCGAATTGAGAGAGGCATCACAAACCTCACCAATCACAACTGCACTTCAGGGAGCACAAGAACGTACGGTCTGTGAGGTTCATTCTTCGAAACCCTCATAGAAGGTACTTCGAATTGAGAGAGGCATCACAAACCTCACCAATCACAACTGCGCTTCAGGGAGCACAAGAACGTACGGTCTGCGAGGTTCATTTTTCGGAACCCTCATCAGGGTACTTCGGATTGAGAGAGGCATCACAAACCTCACCAATCACAACTGCGCTTCAGGGAGCACAAGAATGTATTGGTGTTTATTCTATTACGATGAAACATTAATAAAATGGTAATAAAACTGGGAAAAGGCAAAAGCAAAAGCAAAGCACAACACAGAAAAAGATAAACACATATTAGAACCCACAAGAAAATTTGGACTCAAATGTCGAAAGACGGTTGTCCTGAAACTTGTAAGAAACAAGATTCTTAGATGAAACACAAAAGATAAGACTCAAGTCAAGGAAGATCTTATGAAGAATGACTACAAGTGACAGGCACATTCATCAACGCAGACAGACGAAAGTGTTGCCAAAAACGAAGACACTGTCACCAAACAAGGCAAGTACTCAGTTCTTTAGCAAACATGGAATATGATGAACTCATGGATTTTAAGACTTCGATGCTGCTCATAACTTTCATAGCCGTGAAAAGCCATGGCAGCAAAATCCTACAAGAAGTGGCGTAAACAAACTGTAGGGATTCAACAAGCTTATGCTGAGACAGTCGATTAAGAAACACAATGTTCTTATCAATGAGTCAAGATGATTCAAAAATTATACATTCACACAAAAAATATTACCAAGAAATGTTGACATGTCTTGGTGATTTAGAAGAAAGTGGTTCAACTGGTAAAATCGTGCCAGTAAAACCCAAGGCAGATCTACCCTCTCTCCTGGGTAAAACCAAATCAAAGTCCAAACTTACCAGCGATGACCTAAGCATCTGCTGAGTAAGAAACACGTTGTAAACTCTCTTTTGGGTAAAACCAAATCAAAATCTAAACTTACTGGCAATGACCTACACAGGCATCTGCTGAGTAAGGTACACTCCTCTCAGGCAATCAGCTTTCCTTTAGTTAGAAATTCAGCTAGTATATAAACCTGAAGGGAAGCTGCTCAAAATTTAGACAAGTTGTAGCTATGAGGGGATTGGGAAGCATAAGGCTCGATGCTGCTCATAACTTTCATAGCCGTGAAAAGCCAGCAAAATCCTGGAAGAAGTGGCGTAAACAAACTGTAGGGATTCAACGAGCTTATGCCAATAACATACGTCTGATATCAAATTTATTTAAAAATTACCCTTTGGGAGCACAAGAATGTATTGGTGTTTATTCTATTCTGAAGAAACATAAAAAATAGTAACAAACCAAGAAAAGGAAAAAGCAAAAACAGAGCAAAACACAGAGAAAAGACAAACACATATCAGAACCCACAAGAAAATTTGGACTCAAATGTCGGAAGATGGTTGTCCTGAAACTTGTAAGAAACAAGATTCTTAGATGAAGCACAAAAGATAAGACTCAAGTCAAGGAAGATCTTATGAAGAATGACTACAAGTGACAGGCACATTCATCAACGCAGACAGACAAAAGTGTTGCCAAAAACGAAGACACTGTCACCAAACAAGGCAAGTACTCAATTCTTTAGCGACCAAGGAATATGATGAACTCATGGATTTTAAGACTTCGATGCTGCTCATAACTTTCATAGCCGTGAAAAGCCAGCAAAATCCTGGAAGAAGTGGCGTACACAAACTGTAGGGATTCAACAAGCTTATGCTGAGAAAGTCGATAAAGAAACACAATGTTGTTATCAATGGAGTCAAGATGACTTAAAAATTATACATTCACACACAAAATATTACCAAGAAATGTTGACATGTCTTGGTGATTTGGAAGAAAGTGGTCCAACTGGTGAAATCATGCCAGTAAAGCCCAAGGGAGAAGTGGCGTAAACAAACTGTAGGGATTCAACAAGCTTACGCTAACAACATACGTCTGATATCAAATTTATTAAAAAATTACCCTTTGTTTGGAAAATTAGGAGTGTCATTTAAAACAATTTACAATCTTAGAAATAACAGAAGGTGGTCATCCTGAAACTTGAAAGCCAAAAGATAGATAACACTCAAACTATTAGACTGCATTCAAGGACGATATTGTAAGTGAAGAATGCTACAAGTGACAGGCCCGCTTATCAATTATTCTTCAAACCCTTAAGAAAGTCTGGATTGAAATTTCAGAAGGCGGTCGTCATGAAACTTGTAAGCCACAAGATTGTTAGATAACAATCAAACAATAAGACTCAATTCAAGGACGAATTTGTATAAAGTGAAGAATGCTACAAGTGACAAGCCTGCTAATCAATTATTCTTCAGAACCCTCCACAAAGTCTGGATTGAATGACAGAAAGCGGTCTCCTGAAACTTGTAAGCCAAAAGATTGTTAGATAACATTCAAACTATTAGACTAATTCATGGACGATCTTGTAAGTGAAGAATGCTACAAGTGACAAGCCCGCTAATCAATTATTCTTCAGAACCCTCCACAAAGTCTGGATTGAATGACAGAAAGCGGTCTCCTGAAACTTGTAAGCCAAAAGATTGTTAGATAACATTCAAACTATTAGACTAATTCATGGACGATCTTGTAAGTGAAGAATGCTACAAGTGACAAGCCCGCTAATCAATTATTCTTCAGAACCCTCCACAAAGTCTGGATTGAATGTCAGAAGGCGATCGTCCTGAAACTTGTAAGCCAAAACATTGTTAGATAACAATCAAACAATAACACTCAATTCAAGGACGATTTTGTATCCAAGTGAAGAAAGATAGAAGTGACAGGTCTGCTTATCAAATATTCCTCAGAACCCTCAACAAAGTCTGGACTGAAATGTCAGAAGGTGGCTGTTCTGAAACTTGAGCACAATGTGACATGTCACAACATAGATGAGGAGGGGCTGGTTGTTGTGCCGGTTGCTGCTTTTGCGGCAGTAGGGGAGCGCTGCTGCCGCAAAGAGTGTGTCACTTGGCATCCCCGGGGGAAGAGAGGGGCTCCTTGAGGACAGACCGGGGGGGGGGGGGGGGGGGGGGGGATTCAGGGAGAGACTACACCTGGACATCCACTACCTGCGCAGGCTACTCATGAAAGACAAGAAAAAGACAGTTCTAGTGGAACCTAGTGGAAGATTTAGCTCAAAAAAAATCACAAATTTATGATATCAATGACTGAAAAATTAAGAAATACTATATGATCATGCTGGTAACTAAATGGTTTATATTGAGATGTGGAGCCAAGCATTGGCAAAAGACCAACTAATATCTTAGATCATTGGCTGATGATTAAAGAAAGACGGCACTGCTCCCAAATAAACAATGTAACTGCCGCAGAAATAAGGGTGTGCCTTCATCTGTTGGTGTGAAGAAGTTTTCCCTGACTAACAGGAACATAGGTCATCCATTTCAACTTTGAAAGAGTGGATAAACAAGAAGATACGATGGATTTTCTATACATTCCTTCAAAAACAGAACTGGACTACGGTTTTGAGATTATGGTTGCACGTTCATATTCAAGAAGGAAGCTTGAGGTTGTAAACTCAGACATCGCTCAGCTCTGCTCTGTGACATACACATTATCAGCTGCTCAAAACTTGGAATGCAAGCTCAGGAAAAACACCTGTGCATGGTATGAATGTTGTTATTTTTTGTGTTAGCAGAGTAAACAGTAAATAGGGGAAATGCAAACCACCTGTATTGGTGAAAATACATTGGCATGGAATAGTCACAAACTACTCCTGTATGTATACACATGTAGGTGCGTTCCATTTGGTTTGTTGTAGAAATATCTATTCCATAACTCAGAATGGCATTCATATTACCCACACTGATGATGTTAAATTACATCATAATATTAAGTCTTTTTGCAAGAAGTTTAATACTTTATAAATTTTGTGAAATAAATTCATATGATGCATCATTTGAGACGACGTTCACAGACCGTGCATCCTGTAGCCTACACTACACGCTACACAATACTGAGCATGCGCAGACGTAACATCAATGATATATGGAACTAGCTTCCGCCTCACACACGTACACCTAAGTTTCATTCCACTTTCAAGATACCACTGAACCTAATGACCACTGACAGGCCAATGTGCAATATCAAACGAGGCTCTGGCCTAGCAACCCTACTTCAACATTGCACAGCCATCTTCTGGGATGAGGCTACAATGGCTCATAAAACTGCTCTCGAAGCACTAGACCGCACCCTTCAAGACATCCGTAACTGCACATCCATATTTGGCGGTATTCTACTCATCCTCTCAGGTGACTTTCGCCAAATACTACCAGTCATTCCTCAAGGGACCCGTGCAAACGAAATACACGCTTCCATCAAATCATCCCATCTATGGCAACATGTACAGAGGCACTCCCTTACCACAAACATGAGAGTTCATTTGAAGAGCGCAAGCAACACCAAAGAATTTGCTGCCCTTCTTCTCACAATCGGCAATGGGACACTACCATCCACAGATGGTACAACTGTACAAATCCCAAAAGCACTTGGCTTAAACCTACCATCACCAGAAGACCTCCTGAACCATGTATACCCCGACATACACCTCCATGCACACAACATCGAATGGCTCATCGAGCGTGCAATTCTGGCTCCACACAACGACACAGTCCGAGAAATCAACTGGCAACTACTTCAAAAATACCCTGGCCAAGAAACTGTCTTCACATCCATAGACACAGTCCCACAAGATGACCAAGCCGTCCAGTACCCATCAGAATTTCTTAATTCCCTGCACCCTTCTGGAATGCCACCACATCTACTTACGGTGAAGGTTGGAATACCAATCATATGCCTTCGCAACCTCACACCAACAATGGCAAACGGTACCAGAATGATTGTCACAAACATCACCCCCAACTGCCTCCAAGTGACCATTGCAACAGGACCAAACATCCTTCATTCCACGCATCCCTTTGATTCCCAGCGACTCCGTCTTGCCATTCTCCTTCAGAAGAGTCCAATTCCCTGTACAACTCTGCTTTGCCATGACCATCAACAAAGCCCAAGGCCAAACACTTGAAGTAGCCGGCCTGGACCTCAGACGTCCCTGCTTCACCCACGGTCAATTCTACGTAGCCTGCTCAAGAGTCAGAGCTGCCAGACACCTGTATTTATTCGCACCCAACAACACCACCTCCAACGTTGTATACAAAGAAATCCTCAACTAAATCAACTCCTCTACAGGTACAGTTGTCAAACCTTTCTTTCACACAAACCCAACTATCTACCCCTACAACCATCCATTCCCTCCTTTTGCTTGCTCTCCAACGCACACTCTATTAAACATCCCCCTACACAACATCTCAACGCACCATGATCGGGTACTACAGCTTGTCAATGATATATGGAACTAGCTTCTTTTCTTTTGTGGAAGATTTGGACCAAAGAGAATCGGCAATCTCTACTTATTTGTCGTCGAAGTGCGACGCTTTAGCGACGAACTTCATTCATTCAAAATTATCAGTGGACGATAAACTTTCTCTGCTTGTTTCAAAGTTTTCCTTTGATGAAGTTCTACGTGTGCGTAATTGTATTGCAACCAGTGGGATTGGAGACGCAGATCTTCTTGCTGAATGTTTGACAGCAGATGCTGAACTGTGTGCATCATTACTCGCTTTAAGTTCATAACGAGAAGAGCAAGATAATAGGAAGGAGGTGAAGCTGCTACTGCTAGTGCTACTAGTACTAGGCCTACTACTACCACTAGTGCTACTGCTACCTCTATTCGTCCTTGGCCAACTAATACCGTATTTGCTCCACCAGTTTCTAGATGCCTGGTTTGTGAGGAGAAACTCACACGCAATCATGTGATTACGACTGTGAAATATTTTTCGTTCACTGGTCTTGATGAGTCTGCCAAGAAAATTACTTTGCGGTGCCGTCCCTGCAAGCTAGTGTACGACTGGTACGAGTACGGTAGCAAGACAACATACTGGAAACTGTATGACGAGCAACGTCCGGCTGTACAGGCTAGCGACACTGTGTTCGTTTGTGTGCTGTTTGATTTACCTTGGTTCTGAATTTGTTAAGTTGTGGGAGTCAAGTAAGCACTATTGCTGCAGCAGGGAGTAGGGAGGGGCTATGTTGGGTTGAAGATGTTTTCCTGACTGGGACATGCATCTCATCCATCTCAAAAACTTTCACCATGGCAGAGCAACAAAACCAGCAGATGATTCAAGAAGTCTACCTTGGTACATGTGGCATTTGCCCCATACACGGGCCTTGGAGCCCTCTTCCATGGCCTTGCCAGCTAAAAGTCATAGTATAAAAGAAGTTTTACTGACAAGGGGACGTATAACATCCGTCTTGACTGTAAAACCACAAGAAAATCGGTGTCACAACCTATATCTTTGTTTCACACTCTAGAAATCAACAGTTTGACAAGTGTTTGAAGGAAAACGTTTAATGAAACGTCCAACATCATGTGAAGAAGTTTTCCTGACGAGAGGATACATCACTATTGATTGATCACTATTGGATATTTGATACAGTGGATGATGAAAGGACTACTACGTCTGCCCCCCAAGCCATCAGCAGAATATTTGAGCCAAAGTAGTGTTGTCACTCTCAGGCTCAAGAAAGCAAGAAGATGAAACGTGACAGCGATGATCAGAACGAGGCTGCACCTGTAAGACGTTTCGTTCAAGACCAGTGATTGACTCGTAGAGGGCTACAGGTGTACACTACCAAACACTCTTCCTATCGCTAGAAGCAAAGAAGGCAAGAACTGTGAGGAACTTTCATTTAACATTATTCAGTCGATATTTGTTTCTTGTTTTCATAAGAACGCGAAGCAATTTGCAACAGCTGTCAACTGCAAGTAGTAGAAGACGTCACCCTGAAAAATCACGAATGTCTGATGCACTTATCTGCCTCAGTGCACTAAATGCAGCAATATATGCACCCCTGAAATTCCGGAAAATACCTCTGATGACGGGTTTCGACGCCAGCATATTAAGCAAGGTGATGTATGCTCTGCCTTTACCTAGAGCATTTCGTACCAGGTATCACAGTTTCAAGTTTAAACTTGACGTCTCACATCTAACCAGAACATAACAAAAAGTAGTAAGCAAAAAACACACCATGTTTTCTGCTACATACCGCTGCTGCATATGATGTAGACAAATCAAAGTACATCGTATTTCATTGCCAAGAATCTCATTGTTGTTATGACGAACCACAATGATACCTGTTCTCTGAACTCAAATAATTGATGGGAGAGCAGTCCAGTGCCCAGAATCCCCCGACCCCTGAAGCTGTCTTCCAAATTTTTTTTTTTCCCCTTCTTGAACGAAAAATACAGACTGGTACTTCTAGGGCTAGGCTCATCTCGAAGAAAAAAAGCAGTGATGTCATCCAACAATAGACGACAGAAAAGGAATGAAGAAGTCTGCTTTGTGTGTGGCATGTTGTGTCCAAGAAACTTTGTTTTTTTTATCATTTCCATACAAGACATCGTCCGAAGCAGTGGTCGAGACTTTGTAATGGACCAAACACTCAGCCGGTAAAGCATTCAGATCCATCTGTTAATGATCACCAGCCGTATAACAGGGACTTTCTAACCTAAGCCGTGCCTATACCATAGTACTGGTGCAATGCTTTCAGCTATGTTTTAATGGGAGACCCAACAAGGTCCGTTAAGCTCGCTGGGTCCGAAAGACGCTTTTACATTGAATGGACTACACCGAATGCTAAAATTGTGTTGCAAAAGCAACTGGAGTTAAGATTGAGTCATGAAAAATGACTTAACAGACACAATTGCAGATAGACAAGTTGTGTCTGAAATCAGCATCGACAATTAAAAGATGGCTTCAGGTTCAACGGACGAGATTATAAAAAGAACAAGATGGCTGAAACAGAGATACTGCTGCCCGATGCTGGTATTTTTGAGTGATTCAACTTTTTTCGGCACTGTGAATTTTGTGCCTTTCCTTACACTTTGACCTTTTCTACTTTCAGACGACTTTAGATGAAGTTACATCGAAGCTTGAATTTGATGGCGACAAAACTAGGACTGCTGCGGAAAAGAAGTGCCATCAAGTAGCAACAGGGAACTGTATAGCTCTCAGAATTATAAAATCAGAATTATGAAAAAATAGACATCAGATGTAACAGAGACAGGAAAAACATTGACCCTAAATTTACAGTATGACCAGGATGTTTTTCATGGCAATTTTTTTTCAATACTTCCACCAGGCTACCACTAGGATGACACATTCACGGAATGTTTGCTGAATAATTGCCAATTGTTCTCTTTTACTGGCCCTGTTTACTGTTAGCAAATGGCCTCGCTTACTTTAGCAGAAAATTCCATGTTCAAGGTTAGGATACTTCCATGTTTATGTAGCTAGGAATGCTGGTATCTGTGCATGCCTTCATCTTTTAAAAGTAATGTACTACATTTGCAAACAAACAAGAAGAAAAAAACCACCACATTATTAAGAAATCCCTTACTTGACTGTAAGTGAATAGTAGTCTCAAGCATCCTGTGAAATCATGGCACCTGTCATTGTCAAGAAATTAGTGGAACTTTGTATCAATTTCCAATGAAGGTTGGCCGACCATTGCTGAATAAAACACTGATTTTTTTTTGGGGGGGGGGGCGCCAAATGCTGCCCCCAATTTACAAAATTTAGTTAGTCCACATGTTGTTTGCAATTGTTTAAACATCCGTGAACGGGTGCAAGTCAGCTAGTCTGGTTCCCTGAACTGCCGTTAGCAAAGAATGTTGATCACAAGTGCCAAATTCCGTGGTTAAGAGTGCCATGAAATTGGGCTGAGGTTATTTGAGAAGTGTTATAATTTTTCCTGCTTGATGTTCATTACAAATGGTTGAGCTGAACTGTCGACTGAGGTAGGTATGAATTCAGAAGTCTGGACTGGTGTGTCATGCTCCATTTTAATTGAGACTTCCTGATCATGTGTCTCACCCTGTGTGCCACCTTCTTTCTCACTGTATCTGTCTCGATCCCTCACTCTATCCCTATGTCTGCCTGTATCTCTGTCTCTCCCCTCCCTTCTATCATGGTATCTGTCACCATCTCTATCTCTGTATCTGTCACTATCTCTGTGTCTGTCTCTCTCCCGGTGCCTGTCATGATACCGGTCCGTATCTCTGCTTCTATCACGGCGTCTGTCACCCTCTCTGTCGTAGTGACTACCACCGTGTCTGTTACCGGGTCGGTCCTGCGGTCCCCCTCTACCTGTGTCTTGCTTGTTGAGGACGATGGGTCTGCGGAAGGTTCTATCGGATCCTCCGAACCGGAGTTGTCCGGACTCCTTCTTGCCTCCAAAACCACCACCTGAGGAGGGAATTACGTACATTTAGTAAGTACTGTGACTTATACATGTGTACATCAAACAACATGGATTAGGAGACATTAACCCTAACCTTATGGTATATTTGGCTAGAAGCCCTGCTGAAGGCAAAAACATGCAGCATAATCCATCCGGCCAAACATCTTAAAGCTATAGTCCATCATTTGCAGCCATCCGAAAAGTAACTGGCGTAATTATTGTTGAAAAACAAACTTGGTTGAAAGATAGTAAGGGAACTAAACTCCCTGTGAAATTATTCTTTCTGGCAAGCTGTCATTTTGAAGTAATCAACGAAAGAAGGCATTTCCAACGGTGATTCTTAAGAAGCACCGTAGGAAAATTTAAATTAGTAGTTCGTTTTGTTATTCAGCGCAGCGCGCACAAGTATTGGAACGACGCACACACGCGCGCGGTTGTTGTAATTCATCGGATCAGTGCGCGACGTCGCGTATAGCTGCAATTCAAAACAATTCAAAACATGATTCAGCAACTTTTGATTTGAAATTGAGATCTTAGAATGTTTTTTTTCTCGGAATGTACAGCTGAAACTTAGCTGAAACTTCATCACGTTAGTTGCTCAGTATCCTTCATTAGATTTTGAACTCTCTTGTTTCTTCAAACGAACAAAATGCACAAATTACAAATGATGGACTGTAGCTTTAAGGCCATAATGCCTCAGAGTCTGGTCTCCAAGTACAGCAGGATACAACTCTGTGGCACTTTTCAATAAGACAAGCTCTCATTGTTTCAGAATTGGCAGTTTATGCACTGGTGTTCGTGGCTCATGCAGTGTGTCACAGACTTTTTACACCTGAGCACTGTGTTCAGTCAGGGTTAATGGGCACGTTTTCCACCTGTGAATAATGAATTGCTTTGTCGCTGTTCGCCAAATGTTGATTTTGAATTGACGTGTGATTTACACAATCAGTGGTGTAGTCAATCACACGTTAATTTACTTCATATGAATAGCTTATTATGACATTATACACTGTATTACAGACAGCATTAATGCTATTGTCTTTCAATAACTTGAAATACTTGTGCATTTTATTGGGTATTGACAATTTGAACTCACCTAATCTTCTAGGAATCCACTTGGCTAAGACGCGTTCACACTCGTATTCAACCAAGATTTCAGAACCGTCCACTGCTAAATGGTTGGCATCTCTCCTAGCTCGGGACGCATACCGCTGTTTGCTGTACTCGACAAACGCGTATCGTTTGGACATTCCCGTTACAATGTCTCGCACTAGACGGATGTAGATGATGTCACCATACTTGGAGAAAATCTGCCCATTGCAAAAATGTAAAATATGTAACGTTTATCTAGCACATATTAGTCCAAAAGATCTTTGCTTCCATTTCAAAAAATTACAGCATCCACCATTTACCTTTTAATAACAACGATTGGGCAAGTCTGTGTCCCATATTGAACAAAGACGCACTGCATTTTCGATGTTCCATGAGCACGAACGGGATACTGAACTTATCTTTAGGCAAACCCAACGCACAGTAGAGATGGAACGCGCATGCCGTAGTCACGTTTCAACAATTATCAGGCCCTATAGATCAGGGCGGAGTGACGTCATCCGATGAAAACATCACTTCACTTATACACCAGTTTTCATCGGTTGCTATGTGTTACCATTCAGCACTCCAGACTCAAGCACCATTGAGTTTCAAGAACCTAAGTCTGGGAGCTAGATTTTGTGCCCATCTATTACACATACAGCACAGGTAGCACATGCATCTTTAGAATAGCACGATATGCAGATAAGTACAATATCACACTGTTGTTGCATGGATTGACCAATCAAACACGATAATTCAGGTTTGCTGAAAATAACGCGCAATCCTAACTTGGTACCGTACCTTTTTTAGCGCGTGTTCTGTTGTTCCAGGATCCAGCCTCCCAATGAACAGTGTGCATTCTGGATCTCCTTGTACAGACTTATTAGGCTTGTAGATTGCCTTCAAATGTAAAAAGGAAGTACAAGTCGTGAAAATGCATGAGGATACTTCCCGTAGTCGGGAATAGCATCGATTTCAGGATATCAACAGGAAACATGTGAACATGTATACGACCCGCACAAAGGCAAGGAAACTTCTATTGCATATGTACATGATGTACAGTAAAGCTCAGATTAACCTTAACTGCCCTGAATCCTTCAAAATCCCCTTTGCCAATATGGAGGAATTTGGAGGATTGAGGTTACATGGCAAAAGTGTGTTACTGATTTCGTAGGATGGGCCGGACCTTGTGTTGTTTAGCTCAGCCTTGCATAATAGCCTGGATTATGCTTGAAATACTCCGTACTGCTCCAAAATGTCACTGGCCAAGCCTCAACATACTGACAGTCACTGCCGCAGGATTTTGCCGGATTCAGGCAGTGGTCACCCCATATTCAAGAAACAAATGAGGAATTTGCAGGATTGAGGCTACATCCTAGCACAAAGGCCTAGGGAGTTAGGGTTAATAAAATTCCTTTTCAATGACAGTATCTTTGTGATAAGGCCAAAGAAAAAAATAAATAATAATTTCTCGTCCGTTTTTGTTTTTTAAGAATGGGAGATGGCGACTCTTTGTTCCCCTTATTTTTTTCCCGTTGCCACACCCTCGCCGGAGCTCCAATGAGTGGTGAATAGCGCCCTCTAATGTTCATACACAGTGTCCATTAATTTACCTTCATGGCTCTTTCAATGGCTCTGTCATGTGGTCTGCTGTCTGTGCCATCAATGCTACCAGCTTTTAGTGGACAGTACACTCTGAGCGTAGGCTCCCACCTGACGTCAGACTCCATCTTGCAACAGTCCTATCTGCAAGGAATAAAATAGATAGTGGATATTTTGCCGGAGGTAATGACGGCAAACTAACGATTACTAAAGGTTTGCCGGCGGCAATCCATATCAACAGAGGGCGCTGTACTCTTTAAAATAGGGCTGAATTATAAGATGTATTAAATTCCCACCAAAAGTTGTGTAGCACGTTTGGTGTAGTGGTTAAGCAAAAGCTCTAGTGAGCGGGATGACTCGGGTTCGATCCCGATTCCCGCCACATTTTAAAGGTTTTTTTCCCATCCCCAAATAAATAAGAATATTCTTCTTTTATTTTTTTAACATGTCTCAATCATTTTATTGCAAAGTATTACATTTTCTTTTTCAGATTTGTGGCTCTGGAGGATTTTTTTTTAAAGGGAAATAAATTCCGAAATTATAAAATGGTCTGAATCCCATCTTGTGAATACGAGGTTACAACGATAATATTGGCATGGAGCCAGACTAAAATTTGTCACCGGAAAATGTTTAATTAAGTACAAAAAAACAGTAACTGCGCATGTTCAGTGCTAGACCCGTAAACGTGGCTTGTAAACTATGCCACGTTCACGGGTCTAGTTCAGTGCATATCCGGCAAACTAACGTTTAGGCCTACTAAAGGTTTGCCGTCTCCGGCAAAATATCCACTGGCACTGCCATTTTTTATCTGTGATTCTGTATATTTTGTAATATTTTTTTTTATATCACTTTTTTATCAGCCAGTGGAGAAGTACACTGTAGTGTAGTCGAGGCTGGTGAGTAAAACTGTCACGCCCCAACTATCGCATCGGTCCCAACTATAGTTGGGCCTGTCCCAACTATAGTTGGGCCTGTCCCAACTATAGTTGGGCCTGTCCCAACTATAGTTGGGCCTGTCCCAACTATAGTTGGGCCTGTCCCAACTGTAGTTCCACAGTTGGGCTGGCCCAACTATAGTTGGGCCTGTCCCAACTGTAAGTTCCATTGTTGGGCTGGCCCATCTATAGTTGGGCCACTCCGATCTTTTTTATTTTGCGGTGTCCCAACTATAGTTTACATTGATGTACAACCATAAAACGTTTCCTACAGCTCTGATACACGTCTGACTTTACTGGGGACCACTGAAATTAGCTATTGATGGGGCGAATCTATAGTTGGGCCATCCCAGTCTTTTTATTTTGCGGTCCCAACTATAGTGTACATTGTTGTACGATTATAAAACATTCCCTACAACTCTAATACACATCTGACTTTACTGGGGACTAATGAAATGATCTATGGGTGGGGACCATCTGTAGTTGGGCCACCGCAATATTTTTATTTGGCAGTCCCAACTATAGTTTACAATTGATGTACGACTATAAAACATTCTCTACAGCTCTGCTTACATTACATTGGCTTACATGTCCGACTTGGGACCTTTGACATTAGCTATGGGTGGGGCCCATCTATAGTTGGCCGGCCATGGCAATCTTTGAATTTTGCAAAATGTTGCTGGATAATAAAACCCAGCAGCTGGACAACTCGTCCAACTAGGCAGTACCACGTGACCGGCCAGCCTTGCGGCATGCATGCACGACGAATACACGGTGCCAGCGCCGCGGAACATTTAATCCAACAAGATCTATCAAGCATGAAGCATCCGGCGCAACTCCAGTCCTAACTATAGTTGGGCCGACCCAACTGCCGCACTATAGTTGGGACAGTCCCAACTATAGTTGGGACCGATGCGATAGTTGGGGCGTGACAAAACTAAAGTAAAAACTCAAATTTTCCACCCAAAAAAATTTCCGTTGATCCAAACATACACAAACATGGCAAACATGACAACATTACAGCAAAAAAGGCATATTGTTGAATTCCGTAATAAACTCCGATTAAAAGAACTGATCGGTGGGTGATTATGCAACACATCGGCATCGCATATGCACACTGCAAATGGGGCGAGTTGACAATCAACAGAATAAGTGTAACGCATGGGATTGTAATTGCATGCCTAAAAAACTCGCCCCACCTGCGCGGCACTGCATTGCAAAATGCAACGAACAAAGTTGAAACGCAACCAAACATTTGGGGCTGTAAAAAAAAGAAGAATGTTTATAGCCTCCTCTTTTGAGCACTCCTGCATCTTTGTTCTCATGTACTTAGAATTCCGTGCCATCCTTTAAGAACTGGAAGCAAAATAAGAACGAAAATACACACCTAAAAATATCCTGCTTTGATCTTACTCGTAGTCGTACTCGTCACGTTGCGGGTGGGGAAGGTCACGTGGGGGTCAGGCCACCGTCACGTGACGCGTCATTTGCAGGGTAGTGTTTGACGTTTGGTGGCGCTATTCATGTATTTCGTCGAAAAAATAACAAGTGACAAAAAATTAAAGTCAAAGCCGACTATACACAGGAAAAACTTTTTTTTTAAACTTTCTGTGACATATAATTCATAGAAACGTAAGTCCATGCATGGATTTACGTTTCTATGAACTTCAGGTGCTGGAGACCTTTAGAAATATGGTTCTATATTGATATCTTTATATGTTGTATACATGCATTCCCGTCGCGGCCGGATGTGCAAAAGTCATATGACTTGAATGATTTTGAGGATGGGATCATTGCACAAAAAGCCTGTGATGCGGGGTTGCCTAAAACAGTCATGTAATTCCTTGCTATTAACCAGAGTTCATGCAGGCGTACGTTAATATCTGTATCCTATTGCTCGACTCCAGTAGTATGGATGGTTGACTGTTTCATGTTCGAACGAGGTAATTTGACGTTTTAATGTTTGTTTAATTCTTTGCCTTTTTAATTCAGCAACAATATACAATCCAGATATACCTGCAGATATATCTGCAACACAAATTAAGTGGTAACGCCGAAGATAAAAGAGAGGGAAAGAAAGACTAGAATACTTGCTCAAGCCCTTGCCCCCCCCCCCCCCCCCCCGCCCCAGCGGATTTTTGTAAAAATATTTGTCAGGAACTATTTCCATAAATGTGCCGACATGAAAAAGAAAAGAAAACTCTAAATAATACCACAATTTGCTGTAAAAATCGGCATTCCATATCCAGTATGCATAATCATGATTTGTTTTGAGGAGCGCCCCCATTTGGAAGGTGGGTACCACCCCCCCCCTTTTTTAAATTTTACGAAGGCCAAGTGTCCGGAAAAAAAGGTACATTTCGGCGCCGGGCGCGGGATGTACGGTTGCCCACCTCCTAGACATAAAAAGCTGGCATGATACCCTCTGCAAACCCACAAAAAATTCTGGTTCTATCCCTGAATATTATTTTTGTCAACACCGAAAAAAACTTGCGTTTCTGCTGTCACAGTCAACCGAATTTGTGCATTACTATTTTCCGAGGGCATTAAAAACCGCACACCTTTGTTTGCCAATTGTCGAAAAGGAGCGCGCTAAACAAAATAGTGGTCTCGCACGGAGCGGAGACAAACGGGCCTAGTAATGGTCTACTATTTCGGTCAATAGAGGGCGCGCCACATAATTAGTGGTCCTACCCATGGTCCTAACACTGAATAAAGATAAACACAGATGCCGCACCATAACAAAAAAAAAGAACACACTCATTGTTCAGGGAAATACCGGATGATTTATTTTTACATTTTGTGCAGTCCTTCCGCTTCGTCTTTGCAAATTATTTCGCGAGAAACCGTCAAGACTAAAAATTATTATGACCAAATCACCACAGTGTTTTAAACTCGAAAACTATCCGAATGAAAGTCAACGGTCACGGAAAACAACACACTGGTTATGTGTAGGCGCTATAGCTCAGTCAATGGGTTTGTACTCAACATCCAGTTCGGATACGGTGCAAAAGACCTCTCGATATCGTCACTCGGCCGGTGTCGTGGCTTATTAACCGAGTCACCAACAAAAAATCGAAAAGCTGAGTTGATAGAGCGTCACACGATGTTCCAGAGGTAGCATGCAGGCTAGCGTCCCATTTATGTATTGATTATAAAAATAGTTTAATAAGAAAACCATTCAAACGAAGGTTCTTCCAAGAGTTTTGCGAGTTGTTTATTTAATGGTCTGAAGTATCGATATAAAGTCATCAACACGGAATCGCTCACTTTGGGGTGTGGTGGATGGGGCCGGCTCTGTGGGACGCAAGAATAGATTGGTTTGGTCAAACACCAGAAACCACTGGTGCTATTCTTGACGAAAATATCCTTGGTAAAGAATGGCCGGATGCCCAGGTATTTCTCGATGCGCTGGAGTTGAGGCACCGGGTCCCGCTGAAACGGGTCGCCATCAATCGCAAGGAATCGCCCGGGCGGGAAGTGCCTCAGCCACCGCTTGACAAAAACAGAGTACGCGGACTGTATGAGATACTCGGAGTGTACGTTCACGTACCCGTCTGCAGTCATGACAGCCTCTTCAAAAGTGGCAGGAAAGTAAAAATCTTGAGTCCTGAGTCTTTCGAAGTTGTAGTGCGAGATGGCTCGCTTGACTGGGTCCTTCATGATCATGAGGATCTTCACATCGGGGAGATTTTGGATGATTCTTTCTGGGACGCCCTCACCATGGTAGTAGTCCGGGGTTTTCTCGATAGTGACTTGTCTCGGCGTGCTGTAGTGCATCATCTTGCGGTATCGCTCCAGACCTTGCTCAAATTCCTCCGGCTTATTCCAGAACCACGGTTCGTCATACGCCATGGCTATGTCCGGATGGTAACTGAGGTAGGTTCTCAACGCATACGTCCCTGATTTCATTGCACCTTTGAATGGAGAACCGTGAAAATCAAACGTGGCAATTTTTTATACACTTTTCGATCTTTAAAATAGGGACCGCACACCATTAAAAAAGTTCCGAAAAGCCAGTTTTTGTGGCCATGGGGTAATATTTTGAGGCGCGTGGTGGCAGCATTCAGACGGACACTTTTCCCTTGTTTAAGTCATGTTTAAGCTCATGTGCGCATGTTCAAAATGACGTTAAAAAATGAAAAGGACAGTGTTTGCTGCCACGAAGCGTCTCAAAAGTCTCACATTGAAAGAAAAAGTTAACATTATGCACATAGCCATCTAATTTTTTGAAATCGGATGAGATATTAACAATTCTTTTCCAAGGTACTTTTTGACTTCTTATCTCTATGGGGGACATTTATCTTTGCCTTGTTTACTGATCCGTATTCGGTAAACAATATCAAAATCCAATAACTGAACAACCATTTTATTCAGGCAGTTTCGAATTTGAAAAACATAAGCCTGAGGAATGACATAGTTCAAAATGGGGAAATATTAAATTGTGAACTTTGTGAGTTTGGTCTCTGGTTACAACAATACATAATAATATTTCGGAAAAGTCCCACTTGCTTGTACGAAATAATGTGATAAGCATCCTGTGAAATCAGTGCACCTATTATGCTTTCAATATCAAGAAAAGAGAAATTATCATCATTTCCAGTACTGATGCATAGGAGCTAACAATATGGCAATCGCGAGAAAAAAAACACGATTTAATTTCCTCAAAATTTCTTCCAAACTTTTGTAAACCAATTGGTCAAGTTTTTTTTTTTTTTTTTATAATACTCACCAATTATGATGGCTTGGGGTAGTCTCTTTTCACAGTGTCGCTCAGTCAACGTAGCCTCGCTCAAGTCGCCGAAATCAGCCATTATGTGTGAAGCTGGAGTGTAACAGTAACAGCACGTGTCGCACACAACGTCTGTTTCATTACACGTGTGCCGTAGGATGTAACGCCCGTAAGATGCATCACGCCACCAGTAGATGGAACGGTCGTCGGGTAGCGATGGGAGATTGACAGTGGCGGTGTACATCAAATACACCATCAAAATTGCGGTTGAGACGAGGTACGAAACACCAAAAGCCCATAATGCTTTGGAACGGAAACTCATCTTGTCACTTCCGTCACGTGATGTTTCCGGATGCTGGGTAAAATTGCCAAAAATAATTTCCAAGACTATATTTAATTGATGATGACCTCAGCTGCCACAGCTGTGTTACGGAAATAAAATTCAAATCCAAATCATGTTGATTGGACAAAATTTAACCAAATTTGAACTCAAAATTACAGGATAATATAAGTATATTTAGAGTTAAGGAATTAAATTTTCGCTGTTTCCACCCAGGTAATTAAGTAGCGTCCCAAGTATCAAGTGGAAACTTGTATAGATTTCAAATTCAGGAAAGTAAGTTCTCATGAAATTTAGCATCCATATTATTGCTGTGTGGCTCGAAAAGACACGGAGGGAGTCCGTATTTGAGACACATTTACGGAGCTTTGGGCATCTTACTTAATGCACGAGTCGCCGGAGTCGGCCATATTAAATTGTAAACGAGGCACACTCTTCATTTCAGATTGGAACTTAGAAATGAAAGCAATGAAATAAAAGTTCATTGCAAATTAATACCAGTCTGCTCTGATGAATAATTTAAAATTTGTGATTAAACATGCGCTATGATGTTTTAAGCCACATTTAAAAACAAACAAACAAACACCCCAACAACCCAAACAAACAAACAAACAAACAAACAAACAAACAAACAAACGAACGTGAGGCTTGGAAGGCATCCAATCATAAAATAGTCTGGCACCACCCCATTCAACAGTTTACAATGTATAAAAAAGATTCCGGGAACACGATCGAAAATGTCTTCCTCGTGAATTCAAATAAGGTATATAATTTAGTGACTGCAAAATATCATGGGTGCTCGAGACACGGAAGTAATATTCCGGACAAATAATAATCACTACATCAATTCATTGAACGTAGAATATAGTGGGTGATATACCTTTTGTCCTATAATGTAGCAGAATGATATATTTTCTGTAGTTAAAAAAGGTGAATATCACCCTCCAATATACAATTAATATGAAATCTTACCTGTTGCTACTCAATCATCATTGACATAATATTATATCATGCCACGTACACGTTCGCGCTATATGCAGCACTATAGCAGCAATGACTGATCACATCTGTGTATATCTCTATGGCGGTTTACCGTGTGTGTTGTAAAACTAGTGAGGCGTGAAGATTCATTGTTGTGCGTTCGTTGTTCATTTTTAACAATTGAATTGAGGTCAGGCAATGCTCAGTGTATGGCGTAGTTCTACATGCAGAGTTAGGCTGGTTTATCAACGATTACGTTGGCGCAGTGTTTACCATGGCCAAATCAGTAGTGCATGACTCGCAGGGTTTATAAAGATGAAAGACCAATTTGTTTGATAGTGAAATTTTAATATTTATTTAGTCATAATTCAGTCAACACAGCCCCATGCCTCATTGGTGCATGCCTTTTTCATAATTGTTGGTTTGAGTAAAATATTCCCGACATTTGATCAGTTCATCAGTAGTTTTTCTCGTGTTGACAAACAAAATATTTACGGTGGTGACTGCTGTTTGTGAAGCGCGCCCTCTTTTTAAAGAAAATTAAAGTTGACTTTAGTTAGTTTATTCATTAAGTCAAATTAATTACTTAAATTAATAAATTAAATTAATTAATTAAATTAGTAATGAGTTCATTCATTTTTTTTCAAATTATGCATTTTTGAAAAATGAATTATTGTACCGTCCAATTAATTAATTGCTAGATTAATTAAATGAGTATTTTTTAAGAATAAGTACTTTTTTAATTGAGCAGTACGTGTAATGTAATTTAAAGCATTTAAAAAATAATGTAAATGATTATTATAACGTCAAAACTTGAATAATTGAAGGGATCATTATCATTCTTTTGGTGGAGTGGAGTGTGTGGCCTAGTGGTTAGGGTTCGCTACTCATGATCAGAGGGTCAGGGGTTCGAATCCAGCTGCTGGCCATACATTGTGTCCTTGGGCAAGGCACTTCACCCCCACTTGCCCCTCTCCACCCAGGAGTATAAATGGGTACCGGCATTAGCTGGGGAGTAATCTGCGATGGACTAGCATCCCATCCAGGGGAGTAGAAATATTCTCAGTCGTTTCATGCTACTGAAACCGGAGATAAACGCCGGCCTGATGAGCCACATTGGCTCAGGACAGACTTTACTTACTTTTTTAATCATTCTTTTGAGGTTAACAACGGGATACCCCCAGGAAATTAAGATTTATTGACATTTAAGAATATAAATAAAATGCTAATTAGTTATACTAGGTAAAAAACTTGAAGCTGGTCTCCATTATTGAACAACTTCAGTTCACTTTCCAAGATGATCGTCGCTCATAGTGTGCTAATTGATTGCCTGCCCGGTCCCCTCCCCGCCCCGCCCCCTGACGCTAATTGAATTCCCCTTTTTATTTATTTCTTTGTTCACTGATTTATTCCATTATTTATCAATTTATTTCTCCATGTACTCGTGTTTTGAAAAATCCCGCCCGCAAGGTTCTCAAATTGCGATCGCCTATGCGCAAGTTGTAACGTGCGCACGCAAATTAAAATGGCGCAGTGTAATTTGCGTGCTTCGCAATTCGGGAGTCCCTCGCGCAAGTTTGACGCGGGGCCCGGGGGACTCAAATTGCGCTCGACAATTTTTTTGTTCAGTGTTGACAATAAGGCCGCATCCGAATCAACAGTCTAGAGCTAGGTCTAGGTCCGCGCCCATTGAAAATACGCGGGGACGCGCTGACAATAGACGTAGCCGTAGCTCTGCAAGCCCGTTTCGGACACGGCCTAATCTTACCGGTGACCACTATTTGTGTAGCGCGCCCTCTTTTGAAAGGAAAATGTAAGTTCCTGAAAATATGAGGGATGTGCTAGTCTTCCTTTGATTTAACTATATCATTTTATTTTTGGACGATTAATCTTGATATTTAATAAATGTAATAGATTTGTGTTATGTATAATTTGAATTATTAAACGAAATTTCAAGTCAATACATCAGGTATTTCGTCTTGTGGAAGTTAAATTCCTGTTTCAGTTCGGCCTCGACTCAGGTCGTCCGACTGGAGTGCAAGACTAGCATTAAAACAAATATGGCGGTGCCCAGGGCTGACTTCTGAAACACGATGGAAAGTGGACGGAAGTTTCCGGGTGATTCAGCAGCGACGAGTGAAGTACCTACTGCTCTACTTATATCCTTTGACGATGAGCCTCCAGTCGAAGGAACAAAAGGAGGAAGTATGGCAGATCAGCAGGGCAGTGTTGAGCAGAAAAGCGACCCTGGAAGTGGAACTGAGCGAAGCCGAAGTGCGACTGATCCGATGCTGTTGGCGCTAGATGTCGTGGCTGATTGTCCGCCTAGTCGGGCCGACCCCGCCGGCCCAGCCGACCCCACTGGCGAGGGACGGGCCGGTGCAACAGTGCACGGAGACGATACGAATGCGGCATTGAGTGCCAGTCAGATCGACTCACAGAAACGGGTAGGCCTACATTGAACAAGTTGTCAGGTTGTTCTTATTTGAAGTTGAAAATTGTGAAAATCTGCCAATCTTGGGGAAACTTGCCAAAATCTCACACAGTTAAATGCTAGTTTGCACCTAGCTGGAGTTACCCAGCCCTGAATTTTATAATTGGGTTGTCATGCCTACATGACAACCCAATGATACAATTTAGGGCTGGGTAACTCCAGCTAGTTTGCACCTGTTAAAAAAATGTTGCAACCTGACGCCACTTTTTTTCTTCATATATCATCTCAATGAAGGTCAGTCATTGCAAAAATGACGATAATTAAGACATGAATCTAGGACTGAGAAACATTTCCAATTTTGTTAAGAAATACTTAGAAAATGTTCTTGACTCTTCAGAGACTTTGTACACAACTAGCTGCTGACATGGCTGAAGTGGCGTCAGGTTGCAACATTTTTTGAAAAAATATATGCCTATACATTTTTCTTTTATTTTTTAAACCTATAGGATACACCCATGCTGTTGTAAATTATAATAATACAACTTTGTTAATACCTGGTAAAGTGTTATAGGAGGACCCTGTTTCATAAACATGATAAAGATTCTAAAATTAAAAAGAGCACAAAAAGATACTTCAATATTTCTGGACTTTTGGCCTACCTAGAATTATAGTTGGCGATAGGCCTACCAGCATGAAAAGAGACCGATATTCAATAATATTTCGCTAAGATACCGCCGACCCTCAATCAATCGTGGATCTGGTTATAATAAAAATGCAACTTACATCAGGGAATCAAGTGCTTTCAAACATCGGCACACAATATCAGGAAAAAATGTTGCCACGTGACGCCACTGAAATAAGCAGTTGTGTACAAAGTCTATGGAGAGTCAAGAAAATGTTCGTTAAGTATTTCCTAACAAAATTGGAAATGTTCTCAGTCCCAGATTCATGTCTTATCGTCATTTTTGCAATGACTGACCTTCAATGAGATGATATAAAGAAAAAAGTGATGTCAGGTTGCAACGTTTGTTCCCAATATCGCCATCTCCATTGCGTCATGTGTTTCTTGGGTTGTCTCAGATTTTGAATATGAGTTTGTAAGTTGTGATACATTTTGACTTCAGCATCCTTAAACGATGACCTCATTTTGACACAAATTTGGATACTTTTACTTTTTTTTCTTTCAAATGCTGCAGGGTACAATGGAGGAGGTGAAACTGTGCGGTTACTTGAACAAAATGGGGGACAAAGGGATTATCAAGACCTACAAGACCAGATGGTACACAAATTAAGGAAATTAAAGTTGCCCATGCTTTTAAACAAATTTGAGTATCAATCATTTTCAACTTGTTTGTTTAATTCCAACAAAAACACTTTTTCCCCCCTGTTTTGGACATCTGCACCCCTTTAAAAAAAGGGACGGTTTTCGGCACAAACGGATCCGCTTTTGCAATCAGACTGGCCCCCGGCCTATACATTATTAATTATGATTGTGGGGCAGGAACCAGCCTACCCCGCGAGAACGGAAAATTTTATGGAAGCCAAGAATTTGAAATTGCAAAATTTAAACTTCAATAAACAAGGGCCGATTTTCTTTGGTCGATATCTCATTCAAAAGTAAATAGCACTTGGATTGCTAGAAAAATAGCAATTCACAAAAGGAATCTATTTTTCGGGATGAAATGAATCCGTCTGGCTGGCTGCCATTTAGAAGAAATCAAGAAATGTAGGTGATTTCCAACGATGAATCAATTGACTGATTTTGGGGAATAAAGAGTGCATTGATGAAACTGTGTTTTTACGTCATGATCGAAAAGCTGTGCAGGGGTCTCACTGTTAGGCTTGCAAAGTGTAATATCCACTGAGCTGAAATTTCAACAGGTTAGGTTTTGAACAATCGTCTTTGGTTTTTGAGTGATGTTATTATTTGAAGCAACATAATACATGAAAACCAAATGAACCCATACACATGTATACATTGTATACTTTACTTTATTATTTAATTGTTGAAACATCCTGCACAATGGATTTATACAGTGATGTAATGACATCATTGTTAAAACAGGAAGAGGAAATAGTAGTGTGCTATAAATAGGCCTGTACAACATGTACATATATGTACATGTGCACATAGTACAGTGTACGTATGCATGTGCATGTATGGGCATGTACATACACATACATGCACACGCAAACTTGACTGCAATTGGGGACCCCCTATTGTCCCTCTTTTGTTTGCACTAACTTTTTAGGAAGACCTCCCATATGTTTTGTACACAAATCCAAATTGGTGACCTCTCGGGAATTGGGGACCCTTTCTATTGTTTACCGTCCCGTATTGAATGCAGAAATAATAATAATAAATAATAAAAATTGCATTTATTATGCGCATACATGTACCATAAAATGTTTAAATGCACATTACAAAACCTAGACAACAGCTAAAATATTAACAGTACGAATTCAAATTAAACATTAGTCTTAACTCATATAGTATACTGAACTTCTATATTCTATAATTATTTCATCAACAAGAAAATGTATGTTGTTTGTACATCGTACATTGTACTACTTTCTGAACAGTCACAGAAAGACAAAACATCCTGTTCCCCTGCCATGACTTTATACACAGGCTAGTCACCAACAGCCAACATTTCTTATAAAAATGTGACAAGTTGAATTCCATCAACAGACAAAAGCAAGGAACTTTTTTACTTGATTGTTTCGGTACTAAACCTAGACAACATGTATTAGTCACTGATTCTCGGTTTGAGGTTACAATAGTCATGTGTATGATTGATTGACTGGAAAAATGATTACATTTTTTCCTGTCATTATGGTCATCAATTTTCGATATTGTTGCAAATTGTCAAGGTTTTGCTTTTTCACTGGAATACCTGAACAGAAACAGCTTGCTCAGGAAATGAAATTAATAAAAAAATACGACATTGAGTTCCAGACAAGTTGCGGATAGAATCATTCAATTTTTCCGGAAGAAGCTCTGTATTTGTCCCTGACATGTTCCAGGGAAAGTTTCATTAGCAACTGCTGATAACTTCATTGCAGGAAGATTGTGGGGAAGTTGTTAAGAATCCTGCAACTTATACCCGATGCGATGCCTGCAACTTTGCCGGAACTCGACCCAGATATGATTGAAATCTAAAAATTAATGTGGCCTGACGTTGCGAACTTAGCAAGTTCTTCTTCAGAGGCTGAAACAGAAAAGTTTTAGCCTCTGAAAAAGAACTTGCTAAGTTCGCAACGTCCATGACGTCAGGCCACATTAATTTTTAGAATTATATATTTCAGGTCCATCAAGTCAGTAAGCAGTTTGCAGCAGTCTTACTTTTTTTCAGATATGATTGAGACGGGCCAACCAATATTTTATTCTTTTCTTTCTCATCAGGTTTGTCTTTGATAGACAGAGATGTCGTCTATACTACTATAGAACTCCACATGATCTGTTACCTCTTGGGTAAGCGTTGAGAGTACTTTGACAAGTCTAATGACCATATAAGGATATGTCTTAAAGATGCACTGTCCATGCTCAACAAATCTGATGTTTTTCTTCTGACAAATTTCAATTCTTGAATTGAAGTTGCAGCATTAAGCTGTATACTTAGCAAGGACGTGAGATGATCTTTGGAATGTCTTGGCCCAGTGAGCAGGGGTACTAATGATGTTGTGGCTTGTGGATTACTTCTGCTAGATGTGTGTGAGAATTTATACATATTGTATCATTTTGTGCAGATCAATTGACATAGCTAATGCAACGTTTAACTTCGAGGCCAATGACTCGACTAGTACCGGCCAGTTCCATATATCGTGAGTTTCCTTACATACAAAGTGATAATTAATAAGCTTTGTTATTATCTTGTGTTCAGACTTTGGGAAACAATAAATTTAAAAAAAAATCTGCATGTGCACTGTGAGTGACATCTACCGGTACAGCTGATTTCATGAAACTGTGTTACGCCATGTGTACGATTACCAAAATCTATACAATGATAAAATCGTCCATTTTCTATACAGTACATCATAACTTATGCAACTTACGCAGTAAAATGTGGCAAAAGTTGAGTTATACCAAATGTTACGTAACATTTAATTAAATCGGCTGCTGGAAAGTGCTGATCAATCTATAAAGTAAATATTTCATAAATAAATGTTATATTTTGAGCACAAAAGCTTGATATATTGATGTTTGTTGAATTTAATTTGATTGATTGAAGTACGGGCGGCCGCATTTATCACCTACAAGCCAAAGACAGACACACGATGATGTTCTGGTTGCAAGAACTACAGGTACTTTCTTCAATTTTTCTCGCTAAATTGGAACATTTAAACAGATTGGATTGATATATGAGTTTGCTAAGATGCGATACATGCTTGAACGTTAACCAGTTTTATTACACCGGGATTATTTTGACATTGATGGACCCAGGCGCGGGAATGTTTTTCATGAACCTCGATGCTAGATGGGTTCAGGCCGTCATCTGCGGGTAGCACACCCTGATATTTGCAGCCTTGCTCGCTGCGAGCGGGTCGCTGACAGATACTTCCCGCCTCGCTCGTTGCTTGTTTGTCTGTCATCTGTTCTAAATACCGCAAAACCTTTGCGTGTTTACACATCATCCGACGTGGACTAGTTAAACTGAATAATTCAGTGACACATGATCAACTATCCACCAATCAGATGACAGACGTTGAATAATACAAGATATGTTCTTGTTATAATGATATTTTGAGTTCCTCATTGTTTCATAGTTCAAAAATTATTTTTTGTAGGAACGTCGAAGAGCTTACAGTCATCAGAGAACTTCACTGCAAAGAGATAAATCATTGGGTCATGTGTCGCCAACATCAGTGGTAAATATTTACAGAAACATTTTGTAAATATTGCCTTAACTCTTAATCCCCGTCCAGTCAAACTCCCAACACCAGATTTTGTTGGAATCTGTTGGAGTGAGTACTGCACTAGTAAACTGATTATGCTTTACATGGGGTCAGGCATACCACCATAATCAGAGTCCAACAGTTTGGGTGTAGAGTTACCATATGGTGTTGGAATTTGCAAGAATGAGGAAGGATCCTAGTAAATCACTCAAGGGGGTTAGGGTTAATAAGGGAATAAATGTGTGCTCCGGAGGTTTTTATCACTCTGTTTAATACCACTTAGAGTCTGGGTGCTGATAATTACCCGAGCCGGAGGCGAGGGTAATTATCAGCACCCAGACTCTAAGTGGTATTAAACAGAGTGATAAATACCGACGGAGTACATATTTATTCCCATTCATAAATACCTTTTCGGTAAAAAAAAATCATATAATTCGTTCAAAACATCCCGATTTTGTTCAACAAATTCACTTTATGCTTTTTGAATCATCCCTCCTGCAAAATAATGGAGTGTTCAGCTGGCGAGTAAGATAAAAACAACCCTTTTATGGAGATTGACGCGCGCGTATCATGTTCTATGCGATGTCGCGCAGAACGCACCTGGCGCGTTGCGTTTTGAATTTAGAACTATACAATTCTAACTCCCTGGTAGTGTTGCGCATGCCTACGTGAGGATTGTGAACGTTCAACCAATGAAACGATAAGAGGCACTGGGTTTTTAGGAGTCCACATTTTATTGTGACACTGGAAAAGTGTTTAAGACCAGCTAGCCATGTCTTTATCATCCGTTTAATACCGGCCACGTGACGGGCTCTCGACCAATAGGAATGGCTAAACTGTCTGAGGTATTTATGAATGTCTGTTTAAATTGCGAAGAGTAAAGACCAAATGAAGCACAAGTGAAAGTTTTCAAAGCGAAATTGACTGGATGCAACTTCCATAGCACTTCAGTAACTACGATAACGCTGTATAGATGACTGTAATGTTGAACAAATTGAACTGCAAGCACGTGTACATTGTAGTGGGATAACCGCTGAAAAGTTCATGCACAGCGTGCTTGTTCCAACTTGACTGTGCATGAAGCTTGCTTGAAGATAAATCGTTATCCCACTCGCGATTGTGGAACACAGAAAATGTAGTGAATCTGTGTCACACATCACACGCCTTCGACTTCATGGCATATGGGCACAGACGCACTGCATTATTCTGTGTACCACTCGCACTTGGGGGATAACTCATAAATGGGGCGATACAGGTAGTAGGCAGGGCGGGTTGGGGCGGCGCAATGATTAATGCGTTAATTTCTTTATTGCAGCAACCCAAGACAGGTCTTGTCAGTACACAAAAGATCAAAGACAGAAGTGGCGATCCATTCAGAGGTCAGTATCAAGAACAAAAGGTCAAATGTGTTCATATATTCATAAATTGTTTTCATAGTGCGGGCATGACATATAAGTACGCATGAATATGTTTCTGGTAATAAAACCAAGACTTCCTCAAAAGCGATTTTAGAGGATGCACTGTGCCAAGGTCTTGGGCCGGACCTTGTGTTGTTTACGCTCAGCCGTGCATAAATTTAGCCCTAAACTATACTTGAAATCCTCCGCACTGCTCCAGGATGTCACTGGCCCTGCCTCAACATATTGACAGTGATTACCAGAGGATTTTGTAGGATTGAGGCAGTGGTCACCCCTCCAAGGACCACATTCAAGAAATAACAGAGGATTTTGCAGGATTGAGGCTGTATGCTATTTTTACATGGAGGCAGTTGGATGATTTTGCAGGATTGAGGTTGCATCCTGTCAAAAATGCCTAGGGAGTTAGGGTTAAAGTGTGGTGGGCATTATTAAAGAAACACTGATCCCTCCGTGTCACAGGTTTACCCCCTCTGCTGGGCCCAGTGGAAGTGCCCAGGCATTCGGTTGGTGAGTCAACGGCGCATACCACGCACCAAACAGGGGTGTTCAATCTCTCCCTCACAAACCTCAAAACAGAAATACGAAACCAGATGTCAAGTCTCGGGTAGGTTTTGTCATGAAACAAAATTTTTCTGTTTTATTTGATGTGTAAAATTTGTTCATTATGTATGTAACAATATGTACAAAAAAAAAAATGACAGTTTTTTTTTAGTAAAAGTACATGTATGTACCATTGTCAGATTTTGTTATGATTTTTTTTTGTGGGCTGACTCTAGTTTACGACGTGCTAATTCTGACGAAGCTTCGTTAGTGAATCTTGCCACGGAACCATCACAGTCTGATCCACCCAGTGCAGCTAAAAGGTATTACAATGAAATATCCAAGTAAAGACTAAACAGACACACTGTCAATTCTATCATGCAGGCGTGGCCCCCTTCAATGGCGAAAGCATTGTGCTAGCTATTGTTCAGATCCATCATGGTTATGTGCTTTGTACAATAGCATGCACAATGGTTTCTCCATTGAAGGGGCCTCGTTTGTACAGTGTTCATGTGACCGGATTCGTATAGACAGAGGCTGCTGACTGAAACCCATTTATGGGGATAGGCTCTGAAACTTATGTCTACTGAACATTTTTTTTATGAACTGAAAATTGGCATCATTCAAATTTTGCATTTTTTTGTCTCGTTACCTTTGCAACCTATCTTTAAAATTTGTTAGCTGTATCAGGAATTTCCTGTATTTTTACCCCAAATGTTTTTTTAAGGTTTTCACCCAACCCATTATCAACAAATCAAGCCTTATTCTAGAATGTTTAAAATGATTATGGGTATATAGCTGAATTTGTGTAAATATTTTTAAGTAATTATATTTGTAAAATTGTTCATAGTCTGTTTCACCAGTGCACTTTTTCCTTGTGAAGTTTACTTTGCTTAACGTACTTAATAATTTGTAAAGTATGTAAGGCCCCATACCAGTGGAAACAAGTTTTAAACTGTTAGGGCGCACTTTGGGCAAAACAAATAAAATAAATAACTAAATTGTCAATGTCTATAGCTACAGAAAAAACATTTTCAGACACCGTCCTACAATTTCAAGGTACTCAATGACTTTGTGATATTTTCCACTCCAAATTTTAGACCCACGTCACTAAACACAGCGCCCTCTAGTGGTAACCAGGAGCCAGGCCAGTCGGAGAGTAGCCCAGCAACTGAAGGGAATAGGACTGCATATGGTTCAATCAAAGCTGGATTTATCAAGTAAGATACGTCACTAACCTCCAGAGTAATGGACAGTAATGTTCTTAGTTTAACCAAGAAATATAAAAATATTTTGTTTCCTAAAAACATTCGCTGTTATTCTTGTAATATTCAGTATTAAAGGGAATATACATCATTTGCTTTTGCTGTAATTTTCAGAAATGGATGGAATTGGGGGGTTGGAAATATATAGCAAATATAGTTACACTGACTTTTTTGAGGTTTTGGGTTAGAAAATGCTATAAAAACCAAGAAAAACGATCATTTTCCTGTAGTCTGGTTCCCTGACTCCATTTAAGAAGGAACAGAGCAGTTTACATTCATTGGGGAATTGTAAGGTCAGGGAACCAGTCTAGCTGGCTTGTACCCGTTCATAGGTTTGTTATCGATTGCAAACAAGTGCGAGGGTCAATTGGGGCCAGTATTTGAAAAAAAAGCCAGTTGTTTCCAACGCTGATCAGCCGATCAGCGTTGGAAATTGATACAAAAATACCAGTTTTCTTGAAAATGACAGTATTCCAGGTACCATGATTTTACAGGATCCTTTACACTGTCATTCACTAACAGTCCTGCAAGGCATTTCAAAATGATTTGGTAATTTTATTTTTTGATGTTTGCAAATGTTGTATTTTCCCTTTAACGGAAGTATAAATTTGTATATATTTAGGCTGTAGAAATACATGCACATTGGCCTCATGTTGTAAAAGACATTCATAAATACCTAAGACAGTTTACCCATTCCTGTTGGTCGAGAGCCCGTCATGTGGCCAGTTTTAAATGGTTGATAAAGACGGCTGGTTGGTCTTAAACACTTTTTAGTGTCACATGAATTTTTGACTCCTATAAAATCCGGTGCTGGCACCGTTTATTGGTTGAACGTTCACAATCCTCACGTAGGCATGCGCAATACTACCAGTGAGTCAGTATTTCATAGTCCTAAATTCATGCTACTCCGGTCCATCTGCATTGTGCGCCACATCACGCAGTACGCGCAACGCCTACGTCAATCTCCGTACCGAAATAAGGAATTGTTTACCAAAGGACTTGACCATTGTAAAGCTTGAGGGGTGTCCTGTTTGTTGAAATAATTGAAAATTGATAATTTTTGACTTGCTTTGACTTTTGGACCAAAATGTGTTGAGTGTTTACCAAAAAGTATTTATGAATGAAAGAAATATGTGCTTAGTCGGTATTAAACACTCTGTTTAAGACCAGTCGGAGTCTGGATGCTGATAATTACTCTCGACTTTAGCTCCAGTAATTATGAGCAATACCAGTCTTAAACATAGTGTTTAACACTTTCTAAGCATTCCCTTATTGAAGTGAAGGAAACATTTCAGAAAGTGAAAATAAAACATTATTTATATAGTCTGTTTTTGGTCATTTCAGTTTCTATTTGCACAGTTTATGTAATCATTCAATTCTGTGGTATTTTGTATTTGATCGTCTGCTGTCACATTGTTCATGTGACACTCATGAACTTCCTGTTATATTATTGAACATCATTGACAAATTTAAGCTTACTATTGACTATTAGTTCAGCCCTTTGCAAAAAAACACAAAATTTCAAGATATAGTTGTGTAAAAATGTTCATATGCTGCGCACTTTTTAAAAATCATTCCAAATATTTTCAATTTGTGTTAAACACCTTTTTAGCTCGAAAGGGTGCATTCTCTCAAAAGTACTTTTTTAAAGGTAAACAGGATCATTTTCATTTATCCCAAAAATTATTATCAAAATCTGACTTAGAACCCTAACTCCCTAGGGGGTATGCAAATCGTATTGAAATTGGAGGATTCAGGACTGTTAAGGTTAATTAAAGATTGAACTGATACTAAGCACACTGTGAAATTATTCCATCTGGCTTGCTGTCATTTAGAAGAAATCAAGCAATGTAGGTGATTTTGTTTTGTGATTAAAAGGTGGTGCATGGTTTTTCACTGGTTTCTCCAAATGTGTAATATCCTCTGAGCTGAAACTTCAACAGGTTAGGTTTTGAACGTTCTTCTGAGGATTTTGAGCGTTGTTATTATTGGAAATGAACAAAATGCGTGAAAAGCAAATAATCCCACATGGCTTTGACACTCACTTCACCTAAAGCTACAAAATACTACTGAGTAGTAACCTGTAGTATGCATTTCTTTCCATACAAGTATGCACAACACATGTAGTATTCTGTGGTATTTGGTCCTTGACCCCCAAACAGCCCTTATTAGGACGTTAGGGTTAAAGACCCACCAATACAAAGAAAAACAAAGAAAACAAAACTAAAAAGCATACATTTCTGATGTTTGGTTTTCATTTTTATATCAGGAAGTTCAGTCGTACTAGTGGTGCTGATATACCATCCCCAACAACAGTGTGGTTTGAGAATCAGCCATCGCAAGACTATGAGTGTGCACATTGTAGAAAGGTACGTACTGTAGGTACATGCTTGTTATAATAATAGGACTGTGGTGTTATATAGCACTTTATACCAAAGGTCTATTAAAAGAGCTGAACCATTATTACCCCTGTTCATCAGGCCATGAGACCAGTTTTTGCAGCAGCTCAAGATCATCGCAAACTGGTCTCTGCCCTCACAGGTACCCATTTATACTCCTGGGTGGAGAGAGGCAATTGTAGTAAAGTGTCTTGCCCAAGAACACAGCACCATCTTCCCTGTCATCGTCAATACATGTAAGAGCATTATTTTGCAGCAGCAGCTCAAGATCATCGCAAACTGGTCTCTACCTTCACAGGTCCCCATTTATACTCCTGGGTGAAGAGAGGCAATTGTAGTAAAGTGTCTTGCCCAAGAACACAAGCACCATGTTCCCCGTCAGGGACTGAGGGTTCAAACCCACGCACCATGGCACATGAGTCAAACACCGTAACCATTGAACCATGTCACTCCATCAGATACAGCAAGAGGTTTAATAATTACCCTGGATTGGACATTTAGGAGACATCCCCATAGACTTGTGCGCACAATTGTTCAATCTTAAATGTGCCCTAACCCAATATTCCCTTGTCCTTTTTTCATGAATTTCGGTATGTTTACTAATTAGACCACGAGCAACAAATATAATCTAATTGCGACAGTAAAATTGTGCCTCTAAAGGGGGGCTGTGACATTAGGGAGACATGAAAATGTCTCCCTAATGACCGATGTCTCCCATCGTGCGAAGAAATTACGATAACGTGTCTCCTTAGTGGTACCATTACACGTATAAAAGTGTTAATATATTGTTGTGATCCACAGTTACATTCTGAGTTGAATTCAGTTCAGGAGGAATTGGAGTTGGTTGAAAACGAGGCGTGTGCTAGCCAGGAAGTTATCACGATGCTGCATAAACAACTGACTGCTACGCAGATGGAACATTCCACAAAGTAAGTTCATGTAGGGGTGTCGCCAGACCAATTTCAATTGAAGGGGGGGGGGGGGTTTGAATCAAAGATTTGAATCAAAATATTCTTTTTTCATAACGAGGTTGTAATTCTTTTTGGATTTTCGCAGTAAAATAGTACACACAAAATGAATGTTTATGAGTGCAATGGTGAGAATAATTTCATAGGTGACAGATGGATGTTTTATTTCACGAGATGAAGCCAAGTTGAATGGAACATTCCATCTGAAATAGTTCTTTCCATTGCAAGAATGTGCAATGTTGTTTTATACAACACCAGAATAAATCCTCGTCTGATTGTTCTGAGGCACCAATAGTGTGGCCCTGCAATAGAACGTCTATTTACTGTGGAATAGAACTTCTATTTTTGTGGGCCTTGCATTGGGACTAATAATTCAATGAGGTGTGATAAACAACCTACTAATCAGATGACAGACCTTTATCATGCTGCCACCATTTCAGTCATGTTCCCTGTATCCAATAACCGTACTGAATGTTAATGGTTTTTGTGCAAAAAGGAACCAGACTATTTTTCCTTCCAGCCTCGCTTTGGTTACATTGATTTGAATGTGGAAAAAATCAAGATGGCCGCATCATGATGATGGTCTGTAGCAACTACCATGTAACAATCTTTCCACCAATCAAGAGAAGGAATCTGTGGTTGAGGAGTTATCATACTCAGCTTAAAACTTATTATGTTTCTTTAGTGATATCTTCCTTCAGAGCAAGACAGACAAGGATAAGTTATTGATTTTGAATCGGAAGGACAAGCAACTGATTCAGCTCGAGCAGCTGCTGCAGGAAATGCGAGAAGACAGAGATAATGTCATGGATCAGCTCAGGTATTGTTATCGTTATTATTCCTTGATAAGAACAATCTTGAACTTAACAGCTTGTCATATTTTTGACTTGTGACTCGACAAACTGGGTCACAACTTCAGTTGAGCATGGTAGGGTTCGACTTTAGCGGTAGCCCGCTAGCCAAATGCTAGTCAAAACAGCGGCGGGCTAGTCAAACTATTCCTTAAGTAGCCCGGCTTGCGAGTCAAAAATTACTGGGCTACGGCAAAGATGAAAGGACAGGAAGAAATAAATCATTAAATTCAGAAAGCAAACCTGTTTGAATTTGTGTCTAATTAGGTTAAATGTTTAGGGTTAAATTATTAGATGTGATTGCCTCAGGATACACATTTTACAGTTTTGCACATTGTTGTTCATGAGACACTCAATAAAAGAAAAACATGCGGGCCAGTGAAAATGCCGGCAGGCTAGTTAAGAGTCTGTTTTAGTAGCCCGGCTGGCTTGTCTGAAAAAAAGTTAAGGTCGAACCCTGTAGTCGAGTCACTTCAGTTGAGTATGAGACTTCAGTCATTTGCTTCATGTCGGAGTCACGAATCACATGTACATGAACACGGTATACATGTACAGTGATCTTAACAAATCGAGACCCAAACAACGCAGGTACGATCTTTGTAGCATTGAAACCACAGCGTGTCTAGCGAGCATAATCACCGCGATGATTAACGACTCGCCAAATTGAATGGGCCCACTGATGGACAAGTTGTTTTCCAAAATGCTTGTTGAAATGATTAGATAACAATGCATATGCACGCAAAGGGATCGATAAAGCGCTCACATTAACTGAATTCACATTTCATCAAAGCTTGAATTACATGTAAGCATTTGTTTCCTTATAGGAATGTGCACATACATGTATTGGTCGGGACTGACAAAAATTATGCTTGTCTAAAACTAGCCTTGGTCAATGCTCTCGTCGTTATTTCTCCTGCACGCGGTCAATCGTCGGCATATATCCTCACGCGCTATGCACATGCATGTAAAAATACAGCGCGAACAGCGACCTCATGCGGCCACTATTTTTTTATGCAAATCAGTTGGGGACGATCGAGAGCCTTGGTTCAATCGTCCATGTGAGGTTTTGGGGGTGGTGCTCATTATGTTAATAGCCTTAGCTGACCTTCGTTGCGTGGAAACTTGCATAGTGAAATGTGGCACCGTACATAATCCATACACGTACACGTTGTGTGTCTCTGCACACGGCACCAATGCACAAAAACTGTGGTTCCTGTCACGTCCGCAAAAGGCGAATAGCTGCAAATAATTTGATGACGTCCGGATTTACCAAGGTGTGATTGGACACTCCACATATTAGCCCCGCCTACACTTATCTGTATTCGCATACGAGGTCGTGCGCTAGAAATCCAGCGCAAAATAAAGAAAAACATAAGCTTTTGCCGACGATTGAACCAAGGCTCTCGATCGTCCCCAACTGATTTGCATATAAAAGTAGTGGCCGCGTGAGGTCGCTGTTCGCGCTGTATTTTTACATGCATGTGCATAGCGCGTGAGGATATATACCGACGATTGACCGCGTACGGGACGAATAACGACGAGAGCATTGACCAAGGCTAGTCTTAAACGGAATCTCGTCCTAGCCGAGCTCGCAATAATGAGAGACGACTATATTAATTTTATTTCAATTTTATGTAAATGTAATGTGGTATTAACAAATATTAAGTTTGAAGACAAGATCCAGTGATTATTGGTTCGTCTGTGTATGTTTTTAGGGCCAAGGAAAGGGAGGTGGATCAATTGAAAGAGCAGACCTCGATGTGCATGGAAATGATTGCTGCTAAAGACCAAGTAGTCATGTCACTCACTCTCAAGGTGAGTTATGTTACTCATATACACTAATAAGTCATAACGTCTCTCATGATCGAGTATTGATGTTCATGGAGATGGGTGCAGTTAAAGGTGGTGGACAGTATTAGTAATTTTATATTTAATGGGACAGATTTTTTGGATTTAGTTATTTACATGTATTTATGTAGCAGATGTACAAAATGTATTCTACAGACCTGTTTGGTGTTGAGGGTCCATTGGTGCCTAAAAAAAACCTGTCTGTTTCTTTAAATCTTCAAAGTGCAACTAACTGAATTTGTGTTGCATGTAACCCAGGGGTGAAGCCAGTTGTCAGAGGCCATACCCAAAGGCCATGCTAAATGCAACAGAAAACAGCAATGGTAAAAAGTTGTTGCATACTGTTGCATTTAGCTACCAATTCAAGTCCTCCAGCTTTGTTGCAACTTGCTGCAAAATAGCATGGTAATTACAACTTTAGGCTTTACAACACAATCAACTGTTGCATTTTTGGTTGCCTTTAGCAGGGTAACTGATTGGTGCCAAGGCTGGTGTGTACCGGGTTCATTGTGCAACGTGTGGCAGGGCCAAATTTTTAGATTTACATTTTCATCATTTTAGAAAAGAAAAATCATTTTAGTTTAAATTTATGTCCCCGTCCCATTCTTGGTAGTGTGTCCCCCTGTTTACTTTACTTTAGCCCACAATTTCCCCTATATAAGTTGCCGCTTGGTCAAGCCACATATATTATAAGCTAGCAGACCAGCAGCGTATAGTTTATATTCCTCCTTAATGGGGTGGTGAGAGCTGTTTGCGTTTTGTCATTGGTGATTTTTCTTTACTTTTTCACTGTTTTTATTTTCATTAAGCTGCATGACTTGGAGCAGAAGGAGCCCATCAGGTTGACCACCACACCCAAGGGCACAATACAGAGCAGACCGGTGGACGGACCCCAGGGGAGAAACTCAACCTCCTTCACACGGCAGACCACCAATATTCCCTCCGTCGACCAGGCTGCATTTGACAGACTAAAAGTATGTGCATGAAAATGTTTGTTTAGATTATCCAATTTTGTTTCAAATTCCCTTCTTAATTTTCTAATTTTCCTGACACATTTACATACAAACATTGATAACATTTTGCAAACTGGATAGAAAAAATAACATTGATAATAATGTGATTCTCATATTAACCCTCCTATGCAAACATTTCTGTGCAAAGTTGTCTCAGTCATATTCAATTTAGTGACTGTTTTTAACAGTTACATGTAAGAGCTCCCAGCCTACATAAAGCAGGATTGACTGGCTGTGACTGTTTATGTAACTTGATACAGCTTTGCTTTGACTGTAGATGATTGATAAATCAGCTGTGCCTACCACTTGCCTGTTTTTGTCTGTTGATCGACTTAATTGACTTGTCACAGTGTAGCTTGCAATATGATGTGACTGTTGGTGACTAGCCTGTGTAAAAGGCATGGCAGGGGAAGAAGATTGATTTTTTGACTGTCTGTGACTGTTCAGACAGCAGGAGGGTTAAAGCCAAACTGTGCATGCTTTTCAACAAGTTCGATATTTATTTTAACGGTTTGGATGGTGTTGTTGAATTTACTTTTTTACTAGAAGTAAACCAGTAAATGTTATGGATTTCTGAACAATTTCACAAAATAGTTTAAATGATACAGATTACTGAGTACTTATGCTTCCCATACTTTTTTTTTACAAAATTTTCGAGACTATTGATCATTTTTTCATTGAGGTACTAATGTTTTCCACTTTTTCCAAAAATTGCTCTTGTTTTCCAGGACGCTTGCCAGGCGTTTGAGACGCAGAACAAGTTTCTGAACACAGAGATCCTGGAGCTGAATACGATCAGGGAAAATGATCTGCTGAGAGAAAGAATGATGTTTGAGTAAGCCATGTCGTGTTTTTCTGAATCCAGAACATTTTATTTACACTGAAATCGATTGTTGTGTGGTTGTGTCCGTTGTCAACCGCATGGTCCTTGATTTGACTTCCCTTTAAAAAAATTCTTCAGAGCCATGAATTAGAAAGACAAAATAAGGTTCGTTTACAAACTAAAATACAGGATTTAAAACAACAAATGCAGGGAGGAACCCCACAGTTTTGGAAGCAAAAGAAAGAATAGAAAGTTGTCTCTTGGATTCGAACTCAGCACCTTTGGCATTCAAAATGCGCCTTTATATTATAGGTCACAAATGACTTCATTTTCTACAGACTATCCACGTGCATCAGCATTTTGAGCGTCAACTTGCATAACGCGCAACGGCTGCGTCATATTTTGAATGCATTTCGAGCAACAAGCGCGCATGTTTGGAACATTTTTAACACTGCGCAATGCGTGCTTGATTCCGTAAAATACGCAGTTGCAGTCTTCCTACAGAGACCTACCAAAGGTTAAGGAATTTGCAACCTTAACCCTCCTTCTGTCTGAACAATCACAGGCAGTCAAAAAAAATCAATCCTCTTCCCCTGCCATGCCTTTCACACAGGCTAGTCACCAACAGTCAGATCAAATTCTTAGCAAGCACTCTGACTAGTCAAATTCAGTCAACAGACAAAAGTAGGCAACTGGTAGGCACAGCAGGCTTATCAATCACCTACAGTCAAAGCTTAGCTGTATCAAGTTACATAAACAGTCACAGCCAGTCAATCCTGCTTTATGTAGGCTGGGAGCTCTTAACTGTTAAAAACAGTCACCTGACTGATTTTGACTGAAACAACTTTGCACAGAATGCATGTTTGCATAGGAGAGTTAATCAATGTTATGTTGCAGTTCAGTATTACTGTAGCCGTTAATAAACACTTTATGGCTGCCGTAAAAATTGCAACTTCATTTGAAAAACTGAAGAAATAAACAAGAAAATTGACAGACTAAGTACAGTTGCAGTTGGCATTCAAGTTTGTGTGTTGTAATTCCTAGGTTGGTTGTCACGACAAAAGTATGTAGCTTTCAGTTGATAGTTTATCATCATGTTTAATACGCACAATAATTCAGCAAGTGTGTCGTAAAATGTTCTTGCATCCCATTTGTTATTTTACAGAAAATATTCAGAGCTAGAAGCTCAGTATTACCGGACGCAGAGTAAATATCTGCTGCTACTGGACCAAATGAAGACACCCAAACGAGGTACTGTTTAATACATTTCTTGATTAACTTATCAGGCCCTTTACTGCCACAAATGCTTGTGTGAGAATCAATAGATTTAGACCCCCCTATTTCCATTAGTGTAGGGACCATAACACCCCCGGGGCTTGAATGGTACAGTCTTAGTAGACAAAGGTCTAGCCATGGCCAAGTTCGGGCAAGGACCATTAGTCGACTAGTGGTTGATTTGTGATGTACCTTACGCCTGCGCACTGATAGCAAAGTGCGAACGTCTCTAGTCAAACGCTGGTCAAAATGTCATTGCAAAACGTCTGGATCCTGGCTCCCTGCTGTACGTTATGAACGCGCGCGGCTATGGTTACCAGCGAAGCAACCAACCCCAGTAGGTTGGTTCCAAATAGTCGACTAGCGTAGTTAACCATCGTCGACTAGACAGAGTTCGGGCAAGCGTTAGTCGACAAATGGTTAACTATAGTCCTTGCGCGAACTTGGCCTTTATCTGTTACTAGTCACTTATGTGGCACTAGTGGCAGTATAGCCAAGCTGAGTGAACAGTGTAGTGTCAGCATTTCTGTCCCTCTGCATGAATTAGGTATGTACCCATTTCGTGATTTTTACACTTGCATATTACATTTAGAAATGCCATGAAAACCTTTTGTTGAGATTATTGTACATACTAAAGTATCTTTAAAAGTTCCTTTGACATTGGCAATGTGTTAAGATCATTGTAACTTATGGTGACAATCAGTATAGTACAAGTTTTGATCATAATTAATGCCCTCTAAATTCTTATCGTTATGATGGATGGATTTTTGTCCAAGTATAGTTTATGACATTCTATGATAATTGAGATCTTTCTGGTCGTCATCAGTGAAGTACATTTAGTTGGATTCATAGTATTAGTGAGGACATGGTAAGGACTTAAGTTTGAATTTAACTTTGGACAAGAACTAAGTTTGCCTTAATTCTTGTGTTCCAGAAAACTCAGAATGTACAGGTTTATTTTCTGTTTTGTTTTGACTAAAATTCTAATAAACTTCTAGTGAATTTTTAAGAGAAAGGTCTTGCTTCAATGTTTTAAGAAAGTGAGACAGTGGAATGCATGTACAATGTGTATATGTACATGTATACTATGGGATAAGATGTATGTGCACATAGTCTGTGGTCACATGGTCAAGTCCTGGGCCAGCATTGGGAGAGACAGGTGGTCAATCAATTATCAGGCCCTAGGGGCCTGGCTGGTGGTCTGTTTATTAGCTAGAGATTAGACACACTGGCAAGGCTAGCCTGGGTTAATGTGTTTTATTACAGACTGTATATGGTAGACCTGTTGTTTATTATTATCAGTCAAGTGCCAGGCTAAGGTTTGTTGCCATGGAAGCAGGAGGGATGGCCATGAGAAGTTCAAAGTTCTGTTTATAGTGGATTACTGTGATGGCCACAGGAATTCAACAAATTGTTTCTAGTGGATTAGAAATGAGTTTTGCCACACTTTGTGCACTGAACTGAAAGCTCCACAGCTTCATTGATTGAAATTATTTAGAGCATAAACAACTTAATGTGCACAGGGACATGTTTTTATATTATGTTCATCAAGTTCAAGGTCCATGAATTTTTTCTTAGGAACACATTTTATGCAACTACTCCTCTTTAATGTATGAAAACTATTTGGCATCCCTTTTTAGTTAATTTTGTTGAAAAGTGCACTTTAAACATTTATAAAATGTCATGCTTTTCCGGACAACTGAGGGCGCTGTTGCTGTGATGTCATTTCAGGAAGACACTGTTCAATTGAGGGGTTTTCTGTTCAAATTGTGAACCCACAATTTGCTCATTGAAAACATTTGTGAGAAAGGTTTTGCTCATTAGCTTATTGCCATGTACTGACTCAACAAATCACAAAAGAAAAGAACATTTGTGACAGCAAAATATTCCAAATTCTAGCAACTTTTGTGCTGAAATAGCTGTAACATTGAGTTTTCTGCCCAGAATGGCATCATAATTTTGCTTATGAATGTGTAAATTTTCATTAGCATCTATACTACAATTCAAGGAATCTCTGTCTGTCTGTCTGTCTGTCTGTCGGGCTGTCTGTCTGTCTGTCCGCCGATTATCTCCAGAACCGGGCACCGTATGAAGTTGAAAATCGGCGGGTGCATTGCTCCGGATAGCAGAATGTGCAGTGCCGAGTTTGAAGTGGTTTGGATGAGCGGTTCTCGAAAAAGCTGCAAAAAAGCAGCATTTTCTGAGCCTCAACGTGGCAGATTATAGCTTAGAGCACGCACAGTCCTTTTCAATTGTTTACGTCAGGTTTGAGTGAAAGCGCGCGTGCTTAATAATAATATGACGCAACAATGGAAAAAGGACAGGCACATCATGGGGCACATGCTTTTCAGGGCGATACCATTATCCAGTATGGGTGAATAGCACTGAATACCATGTTTCCGTATGTACACGTTCGTGAGTAGCTACACGGGCACATGCATTTTGCAGTCGACTGAGCAACCATCACTGTATAGGCGGTCGACTAAGTAACCCTTACTGTAGGGCGATACCATTTTCCAGTAGGGGTAAATATCAGTGCCAGGGGATGACGACATGTGTGCGTTTAACCTGCGAGTGTGCGTTCAACCTGTAGAAGCACCATTGAATAATGTGCGTTGCTTGCAGAGCTGCAATTCTCAACTGCCCTTTCCGAACAGGCACATTTTCGACTGGCCCTGCACTAGTCAAATCTAAAAAGGCACAAAAATACCCTTTAAAATTGCAAAACAATAGCTGAAAATAAGGTTAAATGGGACACATAGGTGCATTTTTGAGAATTGCATTAAAAAATTACATGGCATGACCCTTTAATCCATTTGTCCCTGTGATACAATGTGATACAATGTAATACAATGTAATACAAATGTAATACAAATGTAATACAATGTATTAGTATACATACTGTAAAACGACATTTACATGCTTTACTACATGTATGTCAATATTCAGGATCGGATTACTCTGTTGCTGAGACTGATGATGAACTCATATCCAGACTGATAGAAGAAGCTATAGAGTCAGATACTAATGATGTGCAACAACCCACAAACAAAGCCGTCAACAAGTAAGTGGTTTTCTTCACTATAATTTCTTGAGAGGTTCTGCCGCCTTCTGATCTCAGAAATGCAGTCATTTTAATTACTCAATCTAAAGATGATCCGTTGACTGTGAAAATGTAAAGACAAAATACATGTGAATTCTCCGGTCTTACTGTCATTTGTATCATGTGTACAGTGGTGGATATGACCGTTTTGGCTTCATGCAGCAACTGGAACAGAGTGGTGAAGAGGCTAGCACACTGGCTTCCAAAGCGGCTGTGGCTAAGAGAAAATCCGAGGAAATTGAGGTAAGCATGGTTAATCCATCACAAGTCCATCACAAGTCCATCACAAGTCCATCACAAGTCCATCACAAGTCCATCACAAGTCCATCACAAGTCCATCACAAGTCCATCACAAGTCCGTCACAAGTCCATCACAAGTCCATCACAAGTCCATGACAAGTCCATCACAAGTCCATCGCAAGTCCATCACAAGTCAAACACAAGTCCATCACAAGTCCGTCCTAAGTCCATGACAAGTCTATCACAACTCGTTTACAAGTCCTCACAAGTCCATCGCAAGTCCATCGCAAGTCTATCACAGGTCCATCACAAGTCCATCACAAGTCCATCACAAGCCCATCACAAGTCCATCACAAGTCCATCACAAGTCCATCGCAAGTCCATCACAAGTCAAACACAAGTCCATCACAAGTCCGTCCTAAGTCCATGACAAGTCTATCACAACTCGTTTACAAGTCCTCACAAGTCCATCGCAAGTCTATCACAAGTCTATCACAAGTCCATCACAAGTCCATCACAAGTCCATCGCAAGTCCATCGCAAGTCTATCGCAAGTCCTTCGCAAATCCATCACAAGCCGATCACAAGTCCATCACAAGTCCATCACAAGTCCATCGCAAGTCCATCGCAAGTCCATCGCAAGTCCATCGCAAGTCCATCGCAAGTCCATCACAAGCCCATCACAAGTCCATCACGAGTCCATCACGAGTCCATCACGAGTCCATCACGAGTCCATCACGAGTCCATCACGAGTCTATCACAAGTCCATCACAAGTCCATCACAAGTCCATCACAAGTCCATCACAAGTCCATCACAAGTCCATCACAAGTCCATCACAAGTCCATCACAAGTCCATCACAAGTCCATCACAAGTCCTCCAGTCTCAGTCAAGTCAGTCTTAAGTCAAATTAACTGTGACAAAAGCAGTCCTTTGTAAAAATTTCTCATCAACCATTGATTCTTTATTATGATTTTGTGTGTGTTCTGTCTAGTCCCTGCGCTCAAACCGTGGAGTTTCAGTGTCCATCAAATGGGAGAACTACCTTGTTCAGCATGGTGATGGGGAACTGACTAAAACGGTAAGGATCCAGGTTTTGAATGCATAATTATCCCTTGTATGTTATGTTGGTAGATTTACTTGAAACTTGGTATGTCCAATGATGGGTATAATATAGGGGCGCAAACATGGCTGTTGTGCTAGATGTACGCAAACAGGTTTCATTTAACATAAGATGTCAGTTGGCTAAGTTGATGTGCGGATGAATGTCTACCTTTAAAGATGTATTAAAGTTGTAATAATAATAATAATAATAATAATAATAATAATAGCAGGCATTTATATAGCGCTTTTACGCTGCAACGGGGTTTCGAAACGCTTTACAATTGGGAGCATACACAGCTGGTAGGCAGCCATTTCGGCGCTCTTAGCCATAATCAACCTCTCACAATCACAAACACTGCCCTCACAGGTACCCATCTACTCCTGGGTGGAGAGAAGCAATGAGCGACAAAGTACCTTGCCCAAGGGCACACACACCATAGCCTCAGGCTGGACTCGAACCCACAACCTGCAGAATTACCCGCAGACCACAAATTCAATGCTCCAGACCATTAGGCCACAGCACTCCACAGTTGTGATTATAAAGATGTATTTGAATGTATTTGAGCTTTGTATTTTGTTTTTACGTTGTAGTTGGAGTTGAAGTCTTTGGTACGCCAGGGCATCCCACACGAATACAGGCACAGAGTATGGAAGGCGTAAGTACTCAGTAATCTGTGTCGTATAAACTATTTTGTGAAATTGTTCAGAAGTACATAACATTTGGTTTATTCTAGGTATAAAAGTTTTTTTGTGAAATCACTACCAAGAAATTTTGGAGTGATGAAAATGTCCTTAAATTAATGCAATTGGTTTTAGACTCAGAGACATCTGGTATTGCCCTGTATTGTGGCTATCGTTACTGCAATCGAACGTCTTGTTCCCTGACCTGACAATATTTGATACCAGATTTTTGGCTCTTGGAACCAGACTGTCAACCGAATGCTTCTCCGACTTAATGTTTTTAAATCACCCAGAGCCACGGATCACTAAGAAAAACATTAGTCAACTTCAATAAATAGTACAATTTGATTAAAAACAGAAAAGTAAAGAAAAACATTCAAAGAAAAAAAAAAATTCTCTGTTATTCCAAATGCGATCCCAGGACCTTCAGCGTCGTAGTCAATTTAACCAGTCGAGCTACCAAAATGCTCTTGCTAGGAGCACAATATGTGATATAGATGCACAATTGTCTTTGTTTTTGAAGTGCCGATAGCAGGTAAAATCACGTTATAGACGCTGATAGCCACTACATTTCTTAATAGATTGATAGTCTGGTGCTGTTTTGATCTTCTATACAGAATGGTTGAATGGCGTGTGAAGAGAGACAAGGAGCTAACCGGGCCAGGCTACTATGACAAGCTCCTCAAATCAGAGGTAAAAATGTCAACTCTGACAAAATGCAAAGTGAAGTTAAGTTTTGAAGTTGAAGAGTACGAACAAAAATCCATGTGTACGTTTCAATGTGTGAATTGCGCTGTGCGTTGACCAGTTGCGTATCGTGATGCGTTCTCTGAAAATCCATGTGTACATATTTGTAACCTGTTCTGTCAAAATCAGACTTTTCTGGGCATAAGGTCGAAAATGATATTTTTTACATATTGTTAACATATGTTCTTTTTCCTTTTAATAGGTGGTTTAATTTTTGAAACTGGTCATTCCTGGGCAGAGTTATGCTATTTTGAAGTTCATTGTGTCGAAAAGTAGAAAACGGAGAAAATGGCCACGAACGTCACAAAACAGTTATTTCTTTAACTGATATACCTTATCAAAATCATCAAAAATAGTATATGTAGAGTTCAAATTAAGGTTTCAAACTTTTATAGTATATTTTAGACATGTTCAGGATTACAAATATGCAAAAATTTGAAAATCGATAAAAATGACCCCCACAGCGTTTTTTGGCCCTATCTCAATTTCAACCTCTGCCCAGAAGCGTCTGCTTTTGACAGAACAGGTCACATTTTTCCGCACGCTTGATGGGCGTGAAAGCTCAAATAGAGAGCACGCAGCCTGCAGTTCTACGAGCAGAAAAAAAAATCAAGTCTCAATCAAAGTTGGAATAGTTTTGTCAAAATTCAGAATAATTATGAAATTAGATTTAACGTCTTAATTAAATGCAAGTGGTATCAACAGTTGATGCTTTGAAAATTAAATCAAGACAGGCCCTAGTTTGGTTTAATAAGATTCCTTTTTCGCTCCGTTCACAAGTACCCTCTCCCCGGCAAAGAAAGTACAGTTGGGGGTAACCGACCAACACCATCCTGCCTGACTGCAATTTTGCCGTGACGCACGGCCGTACCACCAGCACTGCGTGTACATAGTACAAATCCCCTGGTGTACGTGTGTCACACACAAGAAACGGTGTGTGTCAACTAGCTAAATGTCCTGCCCATGGGATGTCGTTGCTAAGTAAAAGGACGCCCTCTTTCGTTGGCGCACGGAACCCATACCACTTTCTTTTCATGCATTTTAACCCCACCTTTACATCGTTTGTTTCAGTTTCACACAAAAGTACCAAACGCGTATTGTATTTGCATTTCTTTCAATCACTTCATAAAACATGTAATATTTCAACGGATAAAATCGCAGTACGGAGAGCGTAATAGGCCATACGGATACATTGACGCATGCACGATGCTTTTCGAACAACTTGTTTTTACGCATCACCAGTGCATACTAACGCATGACGGCACGTGGGTTTGCAGCATAAGGGTATGTAATAATAATAATACCAGCCACCAACACTCCTATTTCATGTTGGGTATTTAACAGAAATTCAAGATGAACCCAGCCACCAAGCAGATAGAACTTGACTTGCTAAGAACTCTGCCCACCAACAAGAACTTTGACAACATTGAATCTAAAGGGGTAAGTTGCATGACATGAGCTGGGCCCTACTTCACGGTGCTGCTTAATTAACAGTTAGCAGAAAAGTTGTGCTTAGCACAGCAGAAAAATGTGCTAACCTCAAGCACTGTTTAATGGCGTGGATATGCTTATGGTCACGTGCGCATTGAGATTTTGATTGTTATGTCACTAAGTTAAGCAATTTTTTCCTCTGAGGTAAACGTGCCTTGTTTTGTGCTTATGCTTATGCATGGTTTCCATGAAATAGAGGCTCTGTTAGAAATAAATTGTGTGCTTAGCAGCGCCGTGCAATTGAGCCCTGGTTTTTTACCAGATGGTCTTAAAGGGAAAATACAACATTTGCAAACATCACAAAATAAAACTACCAAATCATTTTGAAATACCTTGCTGGACTGTTAGTGAATGACAGTGTAAAGCATCCTGTAAAATCATGGCACCTTGTATACTGTCATTTTCAAGAAAAGTGGTATTTTTGTATCAATCTCCAACGCTGATCGGCCGATCAGCGTTGGAAACAACTGGCTTTTTTTTCTTCAAATACTGGCCCCAATTGACCATCGCACTTGTTTGCAATCGATTACAAACCTATGAACGGGTACGAGCCAGCTAGAATGGTTTCCTGACCTTACAATTTCCCAATGTATGTAAACTGCTCTGTTTCTTCTTATATGGAGTCAGGGAACCAGACTACAGGAAAATGATCGTTTTTCTTGGTTTTTATAGCATTTTCGAACCCAAAACCTCAAAAAAGTCAGTGTAACTATATTTGCTATATATTTCCAACCCCCCAATTCCATCCATTTCTGAAAATTACAGCAAAAGCAAATGATGTATATTCCCTTTAACAGTACAAGTTAGCTCTAACAAAAGGAACTTGTTTCGTTTAGATTCCGTGTTTGCGACGGGTACTGAAGGCCTACAGTGTGCACAACCCTGCGATAGGATACTGTCAGGTAAGTACCATGGAGCTATTAATCCTAAACTGCCTACCGTACATATTGCTGAACAGCCGGTCGGTGACTGTGACACAGCGCCCCTCTAAAATCAACTGACACATTCTTGGCATTCAGCCGAAATGCTTGTGTGATTATGGAGGATTGAGAGGGAATAAGATTAAAGAAAGTGTTTGTACTACATATACCTTCGAATGAAGGCCAGAGAAGATGGACTTTAGCATTTCTGCAGTAAGGCTTTGTCCTGTTCATGAAGTGATGCTGCTTCCTGCTTTAATGTTTATTCATTTGCTCTTTTTGTGGCAGGGACTCAATCGTGTTGCTGCCATCAGTCTCCTGTTTTTGGATGAAGAAGATGCATTTTGGTATGTATATGAAGCACTCAAAAATAATCAGAAAACACATTAATTAGCTGAGGTTCAAGGCATATTGAATCATTTGCTGTTCATGCATTTTGTTTTTCGAGGCCCTGAACCACACGCTGTTGTGTAAAACCTCACTATGAGGTGTTTGATGTTATTTTGTGGTTCTGAATCGTATGCTGTGTTGCAGAATCCATTGTGAAACTATGAGGCGCTTCACTTCATTATGAGGTCCTGAACCTCACTTTATGCTGTTGAACCTCATTGTAAGGTACTTGATAGTTTTGTACCTCTCACATCATTCATATCTTCAAAGTTCTCTTGTCTGATGTGTGTATTTGGCCTAATTTCACTAGGTGCCTCGTTGCCATTGTTGAGTGCATCATGCCGGCAGATTATTACAGTAAGACGTTGATTGGTTCTCAGACTGATCAGAGAGTCTTCAAGGATCTTTTGTCAGAGAAGCTGCCGAGACTCAATACCCACCTGGACAACTTTGGGTAAGTAAACATGGGACAATGTATTTTCAGGCTTTCCTTATTCTTGCTTTTGGATCTTCAGTACAGTGTACTGTAGTTGAGTCCATCACGAGTCTACACAAAGGTGACAAGTTCTCACAAGCATGACAAGTCCTCACGAAACCTCAAGAAACCTCATGTATCCTGACAAGTCCTCACCAGTCCTCACGAAACCTCATGAGTCCTCACAAGTCACCACAAGTCCTCACGTAACCTCATGAGTCCTCACAAAACCTCATGAGTCCTCAAGAAACCTCATGAATCCTCACAAGTCCTCACATGTCCTCACATAACCTCACGAGTCCTCACAAGTCCTCACAAAACCTCATGAGTCCTCACAAGTCCTCCATGTCCTCGCAAGCCCTACGGGTCCTTATGAGTCCTCACGAGTCCTCATGAGTCCTCACGAGTCTTCACAACTCCTCACAAGTCCACAAAAGTCCTCACAGGTCCTCACAAGTCATACAAGTCCACACAAGTCCTCACAAGTCCATCACAAGATATCAGAGTCGCAAGTCAAGTCAAAAGCCATCAAATGAACTACGGAAAAACATACTTTGTTTTTGTTCTTCTCCTGTTACTTGAGAATGGACATGAGATTGACCTAGTGATGGAATTGACTACAGAACTTGGTCATGCACATGTAATAAGACATGTATTGTACCCATCGTTATTTACAGAAAGAGGACAATAGTATTTCTTCAAGAAAATAAATACCTTAATAAATTCGTGTCGATGAAGAAGTCTTTCTTTCTTGCTCCTGCAGCATTGATCTGTCTCTTATCTCCTTCAACTGGTTCATTACGGTCTTCTGTGACAACGTCCCACCAGAGGTAAGACGCAAAACAATAATTACAAATCCCAAGTTTGGAATTACAAATAATCCACAAATGGAAACTGGTCGCAAAACTGTGAAGAATTAAATTCTGTTTGGGAATACTGGCATTAATTCCTGAAAAATTCTGAGCTTACTTGCGGATCAAATGCTTGAATAAAGCTTATATGAGGAATATTCAGAATTTCTCTTTTCCAAGTACCAAGTTTCCAAGATTGCTTTTGATTGATCCTAGTGATAGCGCCCTCAAGCCACCCCCTTGCCAGGCTTCAGATGGCAACCGCCCGTCGGCCCCGCCCTGCTTTTGGAGCAAAAAATATGTAATGAACACATCACAGCAGATAGTGTCCTTGATTTTTGCTTGTGTAGCGCTGTGGCCCAATGGTTATGGTGTTCGGTTCATGTACCGTGGTATGTGGGTTCAAACCCTGACGGGGAACATGGTGCTTGTGTTCTTGGGCAAGACACTTTACTATGATTGCCTCTGTCCACCCAGGAGTATAAATGGGTACCTGTGAAGGTAGAGACCAGAATGCACTGATCTCGAGCTGCTGCAGAAACTGGTCTCTTGGCCTGATGAACAGGGGTAATAATTGTGAAACGCTTTGAGACCTTTGGTATAAAGCGCTATATAAGCACCACGTTATTATTATCCATCACACCAGATAATGTACTTGAATTTTCCTTATCAGACTATGGTGCGTATCTGGGACACCTTGTTGTACGAAGGCAACAAGGTCCTGTTCCGTTTTGCCTTGGCGTTCTTGAAGTCGTGTGAGGCTGAGCTTTTGGCACTGCATGATTACATCCTCATCTTCAACTTCCTCAGGAAAATGGCGTGCAAGATGACGGACGTCCACCGACTCTCAGAGGTCAGTCATGCTAGATCACTAGAAACCTAATGGCCCATCTCAGCTCACATGCGGGACGTGTTCCAGACAAGTTGCGGGTAGAATCATTCACTTTCTCCGGAAGAAGCTCTGCATTTTTCCCGGATATGTCCCGGGGAGATGTTCATTAGCAACTGCTTGACCGCATTACCTGAGTGCGACTCCTGTGAGCCTGGTACAATCCTGGCAAGTAACTGTTGGTGAATTTGTGTATAATAATGGTTTTTTTTGCTTTATTTTTGAAGATTGCCTTCTGTGAGTTAAACCCGTTCCCCAGGCGACACATCAACGCAAAGAGGGTCTTCCATAGAGCTCACATCAAGGTCAGTTACATACATCACGGGCCAGTCAAAATTATCAGTGTTTTAAAATTTTGATTTTGTTCCACATTCTTTTGACCTACCGACCCATCCCAATTTTCAATATCAAAATATCCACTTGATATTCAATACAATCAAATACATGTACTCTTAGTTCAGTGACGGCGTGTTGAAGCCATGGTCTGACCCTCTTGCACATGTACATGTACCTAGATGATTTTTGTGTGCTTCCTCAATTGATGGGATGTTGGAAATGACCTGTTACAGTTTTCTCAGAAACGTGGTTCTGTCTTGTTCACGATGAGGTGGCAACAAATGAGGCTGTGCCTTGTGCAGTAGTCGACTCTTTTCACAAGGCCTGTTGCTACTTATGGCTAGCTTGATATGAAGTCTACTTGACTGGTTAAAGGGTCCATGCGATGATTTGTTTCTTAGGAACAAGTTTTGTGCAACTCCCTCCTCTTAAATGCATGAAAACTATTTGGGTTAATTTTAATGGAAACTGCACTTCTTTTTACATTTTCTATGCTTTTCTGGACAACTGAGGTCGTTGTTGCTATGATGTCATTTCAGGAAGACAGTGTTCAGTTAGGGGGTTTCTGTTCAAATTATGAACCTAAAATTTGCTCATTAAAACATTTATGAGGAAGGGTTACTCATTGGCCTACTACCATGTACTTAAACAGCAATGAATAACCAAAGAAAAAAATTATGACAGCAAAATATTCAACATTCTGGCAACTTTTTGAGCTGAAATAGCTGTAACATTGAGGTTTCTGCCCGGAATGACATCACAGTTTTGCTCATGAATATGGAAATTTACATCAGCATAAAAACCACAAATTCACCAAAATAGCCTTCACAATGGCAAATTGAAATATAAAAAGAAGTTAAATGGGACACAAAGGTGCATTTCAAGGATAGCATTAAGAAATGACATTGCATGGGCCCAATAACCAGAACAGGAAGGCAAGTTTGGATGATATTAACTCTTTCGCTACGGCGAGCCGCTGACAGCGGCCCATACAAATTGTACAGGTCGTACGGAGAGCCGCTGGCAGCGGCTCGGTTGCGTTGCTATGAATAAACAGGATGTCCCCATGACGTGGGCCATATCTACATAATTTATATCGTATAACCTCTGACCCTAGTTTGAGCCGCTGCCAGCGGCTCTCCGTCTGGCCGGGGTGCGCTTTTTGTTATTGTGAGCAGTTTGTTTACGGAGATACATTCAAAGATGGCGGCGCCCACATCGACGCTCGGCGGAATTTTCAGCTTTTAATTACGTCCAGTTGGGACGAAAAAGGTAAATTTAATTCCGTAGCGAAAGAGTTAAGTAAACAATTTCCTTTTTTAATGTCTACAGCAACAACTAGAAGAGCTGGATCGAATGCGCGATGAGTACGTCCCGAAGCGCAAACAGTCAGCAGAGGGCGTGATCAGCGATGACGACGAGGATTACGACACGGTAGAAGCACTGGGTGGTAAGTCGTGAGAGTACGTCGGTTACGAGAACCGTCAACGCGAGACATCATCGTGGGAAGAGGCTGTGGTAGGGAAAAGAGCATAACGCAAGCAGCTCACAGAAAATATAATCAGTACATGAGTGCAACTGGCATTATGTACATTATTAGCTATCCCATGAACGTGAGTAGAACATCAAGAAGTTTGCGTTCATGTTGACTCTCATGTTTAGTGTGGACTGGGTTAATATCAGTAATGTATGCAGTTGCAGCTCGTGTATTGAATCTCCTTTGCGAGTTTGTGTAGTTCTTAACCAGCAAGATCTGGTTGCTGAAATCTGAACAGGATTAACTCTTTCAGTGCCAAAGTCGTACATGTATGAGGTATATTTGTTAGTTCGAAATTGCCAACCTCGTACATGTACGAGGTAGAGTAAGCATGTTATCACAAGGGGGCGCTCTCGCTCTTTCTAATAATATTATTTTCATTCAGGTCCGACCTGTATTTATTTGTTTCATTCGAGTTCTTGCGAGAGGGCGCAGCACTGACACTCGTATTTTCTGCAAAAAGTGCGGAATTCCCCTGTGTGCAGGACAGTGTTTCAGGGTGTATCACTATGTACGTGACTACTATTAACTTTCCAATGTACCAAGGATATACCAGAGAGCAACAACACATTTAGTGAGTAAAAAACTTATTTTACTTTTTTTTTTTTTACAGAATTTTGAACAACTAAAAAAAGTGCTCGAAGTTGGGCACTTTAGGGCTAAACTTTTCACATTTTTCGGGCACTGAAAGAGTTAATACAATTCACCTTTAAAGTCTACTTTTCAGGGCAGCTCTTGCCAGTCGCAGTGTGCATACAAATGTATATTTATATTTACGAGCATTTATATATACAATAACGGATGGTTTAGCAAGTTCGTCTACGGAGTCTGTGGAAGCTATGTCCTATATATTATAGAACTGCTGACCATAACCAAGTAATACAGCCATATTTTTTTTGTACCTGCATGGCTTTACACAAGAGGACACACAAAGGGAGAACAACAGATCCTTTCAGTTCTCGGGAGTTGGGTCTTTTGTTGCAAACGATCCTCGATCGTACAGTTACCGCTTAATCTATGGGAGAGTGTTATATTACAGGGACGAAGGGAAACAAAACATTGTCCTCGGGCATATAGAAATTTATGACTATGTTTTTACTCCTCCTTCAAGCCATAAGGCAAAGAAGTGCAGGGCGGTTTTGGGCGCTTTGAGGCTTAATGGTATCTCACCACAAAGTAGCACTCTTGGCGTGGCCGCTTTTGTGGACAATGCATAAACCTTCTCGAAGCACTATTAAAATATCCTTCCAAAACAGTATTATTATTGATATTTTCTTACACTCATCTTGTAACATGCACATGGCAAAATTTTAAGGGCTTCATGATGGGCAAGTGATGTTAACATGAGTGATTAATAAGGCACATTTATGCACTCTACCCTATTATTGGTGGAGTATATCATTTGCAGCTATACAAAAAGTAACTGACGCAATTATTCTGTAAAAGCATACTTGGTTTAAAGACAGTAACGGCACTAAAACTCCCTGTGAAATTCTGGCATGCTGTCATTTTGAAAAAAAAAAGCAATAAGAGAAAGACATTTCCAAAGATGCATCAAGTGACGCATTTTTGGAAATTTTCGTTAGTATTTCGTTTGTAATTTGGCAAAGCCGTGAATGGGTGCGCGCAAGTGTTGACACGACGCAAACACACGCACGGTTGCTATTATTCGTTGGTTCAGTGCATGACATCGCATAGCCGCAGAATGAGAACATGTCCCAGACGCAGATTTCGAGCGCAATTCACAACATGATTCGGTAACTTTTGAATTGAAATTGAGATCCTAGAATATTGTTTTCTCAGAATATACACCATTCACTGAGCTAAATTTTCATCAGGTAGTTGTTAAGATCCCTTACTTCAAACCAAAAAATGCACAATGATCTAACATACTTTTCAAGCACGAACACCACACATGTACTTGTACTTCATGTCAAACAAGTTGTCCTTGGCAAGAAAATATATTGACAGCATGTGACCTGTTCCCACAAAGTTAAAAATTAACCATTAAAGTTGAAAATGAACTACAAAGTTAAAATAAACAGAAAATGTACGAATTCTTTTTAAATACCAGTAATCAATTTGGTAAACCAGCGAAATTTTCATCAGAAAGGTTTGATGGGTTTGATCAGATGGGTTGCTTCATCAAAGCTGGTGCACACTATCACCTGCTGGTGTTTTTACTGATTGGTGACAGTTTTCCGTAGGCAGAGTTACAATCAGCTTCATTGTGTCTGCAATGATCACCGTCTCTCCATGTTGCTGATGACCTCTCCAAAAGGTTGAAAACACGGAGACAGTGTGTATTGAACAATCTGGTCGATGCAATTAACGTTGGCCGGCTGTCCGGCGAGAAAAAACGTGTGTAGCTTTTTTCCACTGTAACATCAAGCCCCTCCCCAAGAGAACGTTTGGTTAATTGGGCCATTCGTGATAGCATTGTTAATTTATTGCATTTATTTCAGCGAGGCGTGTTTTAGCAGTGTCCGTGAAAGTCAGGGACTTGATGTTGCCAAGGATTTCACACATTGCCGTAACTAAGTCTGAGAAGGAAAGTTCAGTTCCTGCAGTGTAGATTGTGCTGTCACAGTGTTTTGGGGATTTGGTCTGTGACATTGGGGGACATGAATCAGAAATCTATCTAGAGGACCTTGACCCTTGTTGAAAGCTGTTAAGAGCGTTGCTGCTAGCTGCATCTGGGTATCGCTAAGAATGGGAAAGGGAAGGGAAGACGGGATGGATTGGTCGTTCTTTGTGGAGAATGTGAACTGACTGGTTCTCCTGTAGGGCCGGATCGCAATTGTGTGCCGAGAGAGTCTAATATTTCGGAGCTCACGATGAAACCACTTTTGTTGTCGGCAAGTTTTCTTCCTGTAACCGCTCCCTTGCGCAGTTAAATGGAAAAATAGCATAAAAGTAATGCAATCGGGATGTAATTGTTTATGCTAGTTAGTAAAGTTTGAACGAATACAAAGCGTGGATATGTAAAAGTTCAATACTGCACTGTTTTGCTCCAGAAATGATGTTCGGCCGTACTGCAAGTTTAGTAAAGCAAACTTTGTTTTTGTGATAGGCCTATTCATTTTCATTGGTCCAAAATGAAACAATCAAATTCGCATTTAATAATAAATAATTTTAAGGTAACACCTTGAGGTAATATACAATGTAGAAGTCGTTTATAATTGACAAGTACTGGGCGTGTGTTAGCCGTTCTTTGTCTCTTCGGTACGGGTAGGTTTCCTCGTACCGCGACAATTTGTGCCGCATACTGTCGCTTTTTAGGCCATCAAGCGTCTCCGGCGCTTCGGAAAAAGTTACTTTTCTCGACGGTGATGGTACAGCTACCTTGGGCCGTTTGGGGGTAAAAAATGGATGGAATGTAGGGGAACTTAACTCTGACAGATCGCTTCCCTCGCTATCGCTTTCAGACCGCAAATCTTTGTGTGCAGGCCGCTTTACGGGGCTACTGGCTCGGTCGTCAAGTTCGTCGTCGGACTCCTCGACGACAGGCACCGATTCCAACATGGTAGTTGAATCTGCAGTCTCCCCTTTTGAACTCTAAGGCATATTTCTTGGGCCAGAGACAACTTAGTGGTTTCTTGATAACAAAAAACATCCGTACATCCAGCGTTTGTGCAACGGACCTCTACTTCTTGGTACTCAGCAACATGCTTTTGTTTGCTAATTCTCAACCTTATACCTTTTCATTTGTTGGCCACAACTAAACACACAGTCAACCATGGTGACAGGGCACTCCATATTGCGATGCCCGGGAAGCCTTTGGCGTTTGATTTGAACGCCACAAGCACAAACTTTGGTTCACGCGCGACATGTTTCTATATGTGCAACCAGACTCTTTCTCTTGAAGGCCTCCGTACATCCGGCATTTGAGCAAAGGACCTCTGCTTCTTGGCACTCAGCAACATGCTTTCAGTGAAAGGCATCCAGATGCCCGGGAAGCCTTTGGCATTTGATTGTAACGCCACAAGCACAAACTTCGGTTACAGCACAACATGTTTCCATATATGCAACCAGACTCTTTCTCTTGAAGAACTCCGTACATCCGGCGTTTGTGCAAAGGACCTCTGCTTCTTGGCACTCAGCAACATAATTTGTGTAAAAGGCATCCAGTGCTCCTAATAAAAAAGATCCGAGTTTCAAATGTACAAAGTAATACAGGTAGACTTAGAAAGTAAACATGTAGGGGAACTGTGTGTTTTTGTTTTCAAGACAATGTCTAGAGAATGTCTTCCAAACTGTACATGAGATTCTGTTGAACAGTTCTGTCTGAAGAGTGTTGATGCGTATAGTCAGCGCATGACTGTACGTCCAGCATCTTGCTTGGAGAACTCAAACCCTTACAGCTGCGTGCAGCCTTCTTTTTCTTTCGGATGTCTTCCAGTGTGATCTTAAGTGTGGTTTCGTGCGCCGTGACCACATGTCAACCCGATGCAGCGACGGGTGATGGTAACGCAACCACTGATGTCGATGGAGATGGGGCACGATCTTAGAAATCCATATTAACTGAGTATCATCTTGATAGGGATTACAAATGAAGTCCTCCAATTGCTCTCTGTCCTAAGTCAAACTTTTTAATAGTCTCATCCATCCCCTCCTTTATATCAGTCTTTTCGAATCCTGCCCCCTCCCCTTTTTACCATGTTATTCTGCTATGTCCCAAACTCTATGGTTCTCAAATAATGGCATTACTAGAAGAAACATATGATTTGCTTTTGTTAACCATAGTCCTGTCGTGATCACATTTTTTTTACAAATTGTCAACTATTTTCATTGTACATCTTTTCACTGTTCATTTGTTGCATTTGTTCATAAAAATTGAAGCACATCTACCTGGTACATACCTTCTTACTAATTCTGGTATCTTCTGTGCAACCCGAACAGCCTGGATTATCTGCTGAGCTACATTCTGGGTGCCATGAAACATTCGTCTTAGGTCTTTGAATAGATCTTCAAAGAAAAAACATGATTTTGTCTGCAGTGATTGATATTCATCATGTGATTAATATTCATCAGGTGATTAATATTCATCAAGTGACAGATATTCATCAAGTGATTAATATTCATCAGGTGATTAATATTCATCAAGTGACAGATATTCATCAAGTGATTAATATTCATCAGGTGATTAATATTCATCAAGTTACAAATATTCATCAAGTGATTAATATTCATCCAGGAGATGCATATTGCTGGACTCAAAGCTTTCATGGTACAAAGCACTGAAATTTGAACAGATTCTGTTGATATCAAGAAAAGCAGACTAAACACAAGAGAGAGTGAATATTTAGTGAATAA